TTCTAGAGAGGTCACAGAACAATTTCTGACCCTCGGAAATACGTAAAATTGCCTAATTTCGGAGAAAATCGAAATTTTAGTTTTTCGTAGTTCCGCCGCTCGCCGCTAGATGGCGCCACATGTACCGTTTTGGACCAAATTCGACAAAAATTGATTTCCTGGCTTTATTAGGCATCAAAACGCATCAAACCCTAATAGAAATTTGTTTCTAAATGCCTCAGGGACCATACTGCGTCGTCAAAGTGCCGAAATATTGCACTTTGCATCCGCAGTAGAATTGACATAGGCGGCTCATATACGTACCGCGAGGCTGCAACAAAATAATTAATTACTCATTACCCGAACATTATTTATGAACTTTTATGATCGAACTATGTAAATAATGCATTGCTGACCATTCTTTAATCATAAAACTTCATAGACTGTGCTCAGAAAGTGCGCAATTAACGATTTTGCATACTCATTATCGTATATATTCCTCCTGCGCGCCGCCCGCGCATGCCGCGGAGGAATAATTACCGAAAAACCATATCCGTGTAGACTTTAATGCAAAATTGAATTTGCTCGCGCTTATGTACTGGACTTTGCAACTTTTTTGTCCACGTTTTTCTCTTTAGCGTGAAATTTACTCGCTCGCTCAACACTGTTAGGTTAGGCGCGGAGCGCCTCAATCAAACAGACCTAGTATTATCCTCTATTTCAAACAAAGGAGATATGTTTTTTTAACTAATTTATATGACCAAAAGTTTTTTGAAACCGATCTTTATTTGTATATATTCGCCGATGTCCGCATAAGTGACAAGTATGACTGTACACCGTGTGAAAATCTGACTTGCCTAAGGAAAATGGTGGCAAAGGGGCAAAGGTTGACAAAGGTGTCCATCATCTACCATAGCATTCGTGCTTTCATACGAAATATTGAATTGGACTAAAAAAAATACAATAGCCTTGGTGTTTCTCCTACTTCTGTTGAGTAAGTACGTATGTATCTCTATATTTATACAAGTACGAATGTGTACGCTGTATGCGATTAATGGTTTATCAGCTAATATACATAAATACATCCTACACGTATATAAGTATTAACACTTTTATGTAAAGTTTTGTAGTGAAACCAGATGAGAAAACAAGCAGCACTTACCAAAGTTTAATGTTTAATCGCTGTCAACATAAAATTGTTCCACAATGATGATTGAACAAATATTTCCAAGTCTTGGAAAATGTACATATTTAAAAAATATATTACATCAGGTAAATATATTAGATATGAATTAAAGAAATAAGTTACAAAACAATTTTATTATTGTGTTTCTTTAATTATTTTAGACAAAAAGATACTATAACAAAAATATATCAATGAATAGTAAAACCACTATTATTAACGATAAAAAAGATCCTTCCTTCTTAGGAGTACATACCAGTTTTACCAATGAATTGAAATTTATTGACAAAGAAAACTACAATCCTTTACCAACATTTAGGATTTTGGATTCATCTAAACATGTACAATTACCTGCAGACTTGAAGGTTCTTTATAATTTATAGATAATATTATATACAATCATATTGTTGCTCTAATTGAGTTGCTTTTTTCATGTAAGCTAGATGAACAAACTTTGATTAAGATGTATCATAAAATGATTACGTTAAATATTATGGATAAGATTCTTTATGAATCCCAAAGACAAGGTCGTATATCATTCTATATGACTAATACTGGAGAAGAAGCAATTCAAATTGGTTCTGCGGCTGCTGTTATGTCGGAAGATGTTATATACGCGCAATATCGTGAAGCCGGTATAAAATATTTAATATTGTTACTTTAAACGACGTTTAACTGCATTTAACATAGCACAGTTTTTTTTTATAGGTGTTTTATTATGGCGTGGTTATTCTATCGCAGAATTTATGAATCAGTGTTATGGCAATTTTAAAGATACTTCTAAGGGTAGACAGATGCCCGTTCACTATGGATCAAAAAAATTGAACTTTGTTACTATCTCTTCTCCTCTAACGACACAATTACCTCAAGGTGCAACGATCATCGAGTATAACAATTAATATCATTTGATTTCGAATAATTTTAACATTTCGATTTTGTTCTTAGCGGTAGGTACGGCATATGCGCTTAAACGATCTAAAGCGAAAACATGCGTAGTATGTTATTTTGGCGAAGGGGCTGCTAGCGAAGGAGATGCTCATGCAGCTTTTAATTTTTCCGCAACTTTAAAATGTCCTATCATTTTCGTGTGGTAAATTCATTGCATAATTATATACTATATAATGTACGAATGTACATATATATAAAATCGACACATCGTATTTTCAGTCGAAACAATGGTTATGCTATTTCAACTCCTTGCTCGGAACAATTTAAAGGAGACGGAATCGCTGCAAGAGGCCCAGCTTACGGTATACGTACAATTCGTGTAGACGGTAACGATGTTCTCGCCATGTATTACGCAACAAAAGCTGCTCGCGAATATTCTGTGAAGGAAGGAAAACCTGTCTTAATCGAAGCCATGACTTATCGGTATATAAAAATTCTTTAATTTCTTTGTGTTGCGCCACCGACATCAATTTGTTTATAGTCCGTGATTGCTCGTCCGTAAATGAAGACGTGAATCATTGGAATAAAATTGTTACTTTTTCCTTTCTTTTTTTGGTACATTTTAGGATTGGTCATCATAGCACATCTGACGATAGTTCTGCATATCGATCGACCGATGAAATAGAAAGATGGAATTATTATGCGCCTATAACTAGATATCGTAATTATTTAGAATCGATTAATTTATGGTGCGAGCAACAAGAACAGGAGTTAAATGAATCTATGAAAAAGTCTGTGTTACTTGCATTTTCGAATGCAGAGAAGGAACTTAAACCTCATTGGAAAGAATTATTTACGGATGTGTATCATACGATGCCAAAACACATAAGGTGATTTTTAATTTGTTTGAAATAAAATAAAATTCGTAGATACATATTTTGATGATACTTATGAATATATTACAAATGAATATTTGACATTGTTATTAATGTATTCTTTTTTCACTTTTAGAAAACAAATGTCTTCTATGGAAAACCATGTAACAGAATTTCGTGAACATTATCCATTATGCCTTTTCAAATCATCTTAATAATGAGAACTGCATTATGAACTGTATTTACCATTCCATGTCAATATTGTATATTTTTCTATTGTTTGATAACAAATAAAATATTTTCAAATGATTTAGAATTTCATATTTGCAGCTATTTCTTCATACTTTTCCATTCTATATTCTTTCCTAGCTGCATTGAGTAGCACATTATGAAGTAGATTATGCTGATTTGGATCAACTTGTTCTACGCTGGGATATACGTTCCCTACAATTAAATATTGTATAGTAATATTTAAAAAAAAATTTGAGAACATATAGTTGTTGCTTTCGATAAAAAATACCTTTTAGTTCTAAAATAGCTCTTCTGAAAGCAAACCCTGGATATATAGATGGTGCATTATGAAGCTTCGTGAACGAAGTTGTATAATTTTGATATCTTGGTACTAATACCTTAAAAAGTTTATGAATGAGCTGTTTTTCTAGAATCCAGAAGTTTGCAAGTTCCATCATTTCTTTATGCTCAGGTCCGTGACGTAGAGCTTCTGATATCAACTATAAACGAAAGCAATTTATGAAATATAATCCAAAGGAAAGTATAATGAAAATTAATATGATACATACTAGTTCAACATAACCTCTAGTTTCATCGGCTCTTTCGTAAATTAATTCAATTCTTTCATACTTAATTACAGCGGTTAATGTTTTTTGAATTTTATAAATTCTTCCTTTCGGACCAAGTACATTTTTTAACTTGCGAGGCTCGGGTCTAATATTGAATTTTAACTTTGAAACTAATTTCTCCACATTTGCTTGATTCATTTTTTTCTGTTCGTTATTATAATGTTTACCTAAATATAAATATTTGTTAATTACGAAATTTAAACAATATAATCATAATACTAAAAGGAGAGAGTTGTTCCTTAAAGATGTTCTCTTGATATTATAATTTATAGGTTAGTTATCTATTTAAAACTTACAATTACTTATATACAACAAGTTTGAATTACAGTCATAAACAAAAGTATATACACGTTTTTTAGGACAGAATAATTTATTTTTTAAATTGCACCGAACTATCCCAATTTTTTAGAGGATCTATGTAGCAACACTAAATGATGTATTTTTGTCATTTTAAAAAAGTTGGTACTGATGGAAGTAACGAAGTTAGCAACTTAAAATTTTATCTGTAACTGTAAACTTATGATATAGATACTTTTTACAAAAAATAAGAATTTATATGTACATAGAAAGTGATTCGTTCAACTTGTATACTCCGAATTACTTGTAAAATATACGTCGTAGGAAAAAGAATTATTATACTTCCATTATCGAAATCATTGAGCTTTATTTAATATACATCAATGTCCTACACTAATATGTATATTTGCAAAAAATAGATAAAATGTAGTATTTTTGTTTTCTAACTCCATATATTTGTTTGCGTTTGTCTACAACATTTTCCGATAAAATTATAAGCACTTATCTACTTGTATGGAACTCGACATATTTCGTTATTTCATCAATTTGTGGATATCTATACGAGTATACTTACATAGTAATTGTTGACGGAAAATTTATTTAAATGTTTTTATACGCCACTTAAGATAAAAACACTCGAAATTCAAGTACATGTATATGTAGTAAATGGACTAGTTATTGATAGATAAAATTTGTGTATTACTCCTATATATGTATATACAAATGTAGTATAAGTGCATACGGAGTGTATAATGTATAATGAATTAAATCGACAAGGGAACAGTTGAAAATTGAAATAGTTAATAAGACGAACAATACAAAATATATCATGTTTTTCAATATATGTGGCTGTACCGAGAACTGTTACATTATGGATGATATATGATAGTCGTAGTTAATTGAAAACGGTGACTCGGTAAATTTTGATCGATAAAGGGAGGTCACAACAGGTGGGTCAACGATTTCAATTAACTAAATTTTGTTGGACAAAGACCAAGAATAGGAGGTGTGAACAAAGTAACATACAGTATTTACAGGCATTCGGTACTGAATTATTTTATACGAAAGCGTGAACAAATGGAAAATACGAAGCAAACGTTCGAACAAATAGTCCTCCATGTAATCGTCCCCTTTAAAGCAAGTGAATTAATTGAAATTTCTTTGATACCATGTACCTGAAACACACACATACATATGTATATATATACATCTAATGTTATAGGCGAAGATCTCTTCATAAGATTATTTTCATAAAACTAAAATACATCATATTCAGAAATGATATGATGCATTAGATCTATATTTAATTTTATTTTTTCTTTTATTTCTTACCTTAAATTCTGATAATACAATTATAGTATGTTTTTTCTTAAGATTTAAAAAATCGTACTACCCGTACTATATACTGTTTACAAATGGGACATTCCGACAATTGTTTGCCACACTTTAAACAACAAGCCATATGACCACATTCCAAGATCACGCATTCTATCGGTTCATCCCAACAGATTTTGCAAAGATTTTCATCCGGGATTTCCACATCTATTAAAGAAGATTTATTTACTTGTTTAAGATTTTTCCTTATTTAACAAAATGATCAAGAACTATAATAAAAAGGTGTATTATACTTATTCTTGATTGTTCATGTTCTTTCCACAACCTAGAAGCTCTATCCAATAATTCCTGTTTTTCAACGCAACCTTTATAATTTACTCGATTGGTACTCAACAAATTCTTCAATTGTTTAATGCTTAAGCATTCCAGTTCTGATAACGTATTTATATCAGATAATTGTACAGGATTCTGTATAAATGCAGGAAAGAAAGAAAGGAAAAAGAAAAAAACTAAGTAAGAAAACAGAAGGAAGGCATAAACAACATGCAAAATTGCAGTTATGGTAAATTGGCATCAAAGTAAAATAACAAAGAAGCAACGATAAATTTGTTTCTTAGATGTTACCACGTACCGTGAGAATTTCTTTTAACGTATCAGAATTCTCTTGTCCCGAGTCAACAGATTCAGTTTCATTTGTCATATTTTGGAAGCGATTGGTAGATTCATGATTTATGGTCGTTGATCGATTAGAAAACAGAACGTGCCTAAAATAATAATAAACTATATTTGAGCATCAAGTGTGTAAGTAATATAATAAAGTGAGAAATTTCTACTTAAAATCTCCTTTTAACATATATGTTCGTGTACAGGAAAATAAAATAAAACGTACGTATTTTCAGTACTGGAATAATCGCCATTATTATTAGCATATACCATCAATAATTTGATTAAATCTTCTTTCTCTAAAATATAGAAAACAGGTAATTAATAAAATGGAAAAGTACAAATTATTTGGTAATACATATTAATATTAGACATACTTATACAAGTACATACCTATGCATCCATTAATTGGTATTTTTTTGGCTAACAAATATTTACGTAGATCTTTGGAACATATTTGTACAATCTGACTTCGTATTAATGGTCTTCGTGACAACAAACTACAACTGTCACAACTCAATACTTTATCCGACCGTTTGATTACGCATTCGGAACAAAAATATCTCAAGCAATCCGTGCATTGTTTCTGAAACGATTGTACGATACGAGTAGGAAATATATTTGGAAAAAATGGAAACAGAAAAAGCACGTTGGAAACACAAATATTCTTACCTTGCGGGTGAAAAAGGTGAATCTTACACGACAAGCTTCGCAAGCCATGTTGTTTCATACGTATTTAAATACATATAACTGATACGATAATACAAATTAAGTTATAGGTCGGATAAGAAATTTAAAGGTTAAGTTTTCACGTAGAGATAAAAAATTACATGTTTACGCAGCATATACGTTACCTACATATATATAAATCGATGTACGAATACACATAGTGGCATAACATCGCATAAGTCATCAGCGTTCTTTAACATACTATGACGTATCGAAGTTCCATCGTTATTTAGCTGTAATAGGTTAAATTAGATAGCGAATCGAATAATAACATAATCGACATTGTGTTTCACACAGCACAAACACAACAGAAAATTCTCATCGGTCGAATAAATAATAATTTTATAATTAAATTAAATTTAACGTTTCTTTCATATTATAACAAAAATAAAAGTGATCAATACTTCAATAAACCGAAGAAGGTATCCGAAATAGATACGTTATTGTATCGTGTACAGGACGTACATAAGTAAGCATGTATATAGATATAGATGTTGACATTTACATAAGTATGTACATTTAAGCTGTTACCAATTATCGGTCGTCATTGCATTATGTATTTACGTATAGGGTATCCTTGAGTGATATATTCCCATGATTTCGTAACCATTTGCACGATAATTGGTATAAAAAAGAAAAAATAAATATTTTTATTTAGATTATTTGATAGAGTTTTGACACTTGTAATTTTACTGGTTTACAAAAAATGACTCGGTCCCAATGAGAAGCACATGGGTAATCCTATTGATGCTGTAATTCAATTCAGGATACTCTGTACATAATACTTTTACATTTATTTATATTAATTTTCATTTTCATTCTCATTCTCATTTTCATTCCCATTTTCATTCTCATTCTCATTCTCATTTTCATTCTCATTCTCATTCTCATTCTCATGCACATTTTCATTTTCATTTTCAATGTTTTCTTAACTTGACAAGGCAGGAAAATGACGCGCATCCATTGATTAGAATGAAACAAACACGTTGCTCGTGGGTTAGCCAAAATCAAAACAGTTTCTTTTGTATCTACACACGTAGGTATTTAGTTGAAATGCTATTATGAAACAAAGTCGCGTATCGAATTTTGTTTCCGCAAGGAAGCATTACAGATCTGAAATAATTAAGAAAACGAAATTTTGTTTCGACGATGAAAATATATACATTATATGTATATTTATACATATATTTTCCATACATTTATTCATTGAAACTCGCTTGAACCGAGAAGAAAATAAATATATCGTATCGCATCGCATCGTGATGGAGTCGATCGAGAGGAATCGTAAACATTTTTTATTATATGTATATTATATGATAAGAAAATATCGGAGGTGAAATTACTAGACTTAATATGGCGATGAAAGTCGCGCGTACGACACGCGACAAAGGCCAGAAAAGGCCAACGAAGCGTAAAATGCAAATATTTGGTTCTTCTTTTTTTTAAATATAATCAAGAGTCGAAAATATCGTTTCTCTTCCGCGTGGTTTTACAATTAACGAGAGGTAATTGATGAAGGGTGTTAACGTTTAAATCGATATTCTAGCAAAGAGCGGACTAGATGAAGGCGGAGAACATCGGAGGAGATCGGAGAAAATTAGAGGAAGGAACAGAGGAAAATAGGACATAAAATAATAAAGGAAAATTTGGAGGAAGATCGGAGTCTGACCGATGATATATGGTGGTTAGAAAATGTTCAGCTAAGCGGAATGTTCGTTAAAGGGAAAAACACGACTACATAGAAGGATGCAGCATACGTCTATGATTCGGAAGGAACCTAGGATCTTTGGTTGCGCGATCCGTTGGTTCGACCGAAGGGGAACGATGTTGTTGATTCTCCTTTCGGTGAATCTCGAACGATTCGGCGGACGTAGCAGCCTCGTCGAATGCATCGTTCCTGAAAATCGATACGATCAGTGTGCTACCGAGGAAAAACGCCATAAATCAACGTATTTAATATTTATGTATTTACGTGTACTTATTCTCCGAAGGGTGAAACAACGATTTCGGGCAGTCTTTAAAATAAGGCCAACATTCTCCGTGAAATTTTCCTCTGTTTTCGGCTTCGATGTATTCCGTTAGAAGGTCCGCGAACGGTGATTTACTGGCACTAAAAGTAAAAAGAAAAGAAAAAGAAAAATTATACGAGCGATCGGTACATAAGCCCATAGATACTTACGTACGGGTGGATACGCGTGGGACGTGTATTCGTCGTTTCGGTAGATTTCGGTAGATTTTTAAGAGAGATGAAAAATTGAAGGGCTTACGTGAAGAAAAGCTTGAGAATTTCCCCGATTAGACCGAAATTGGTGAACGGGTGACCCTGCACCTCGCAGATCGCCCTTAGTAGACAAGCCTTGCCGTTTAAACCGAAATTTCCGAGCATATCCTCGGCGGTGCCGTACAACAGAGCTCTTTCTCCTCCGTAAAACGCGTTCTCGGGCAGATTCGTGATCGCCTCTCTCTTATCGAGTCCGCGTTTCACGAACGTCGCGATAAACTCTGCTGCACCGGACGAGGAACCCTGGCTTCTCGCGGTAGCGTCGAAGGCCGATGGTAAAGCTCCGTAAGGATTCTCGTTGTCGGTTAAACCGAGTTTGTCGAAATCGACTAGAACAATAAGGGAATACGATGTTTCGAAGATATCGAGATGTAGTCGAAGGAGGAGAGGGATTCACTTACTGGTAAACGGTAGACTGATGGTCATGTTACTGAGGAAACCGTACGGTGGATATCTAACGAATGGCAATGCCAAAGTTGGAGTTATCGTCATTACCGTGCCCGGTGGCAAAGCTATCCGACCATCGTTAGTTATCCAAAATAATCTTTTCTGTCGATGATGAGAATAGGAAGGTTCCTCGCTGCCGCTCTGGCCTTCCGAAGACTTTAGGAAGAGGATCAGTCCAAGCAAAGCCACCACGCTTCGACTCTTTACCATCTTTTCTACCTTTCTTTCAAACTTTTATTTATCGTTTATTCTCGTTTCGTTGACGCGCGCGCGCGCTCTCGCACGCATCTACGAATCCTTCGTTTTCCACAACGATCGATCGGTGTACGATCCGCTGAAAGATAAAGGGAATCGATCACGTTTCGTTCTTTCGCAAAGAATCACGATAAAAGCAAAGATGAGAGTGAATCGGGTGATGTCGGTGTTGAAACGGGAAGTGTAAGGCACGCGTTACGTCGATACGTACTCGGGAAAATGCGGGACAAAAGGAAAGCGGGTTAGAGGTAGTATACCACGGAAAGGATCGCGAATTAAGGATATTCCCGTTAGCCGACGAACGCGTACGCTCGAGAACCGCGTTCTCGTATGCGAGATACGTATCGAAACATAGCTACGCGATGCGACGTGACGCGAACGAATATAGGGCGTCGCTTATTTAGTCGTAAAACGTGATCGGCCTGTATCAACGTTTAGGAGAAAATCGAAGAAAAAACCGGCAATTCGGTAAAATCGATATCTGGTATCTTGTCATAGCTCGATCGAAATGATTCGGTGTATCGTGCGTAGTTTACGCGACTCGAATCGACATCCGCCGCGCGCTCGATCGTTCGCTACCCTTCCGCGATCGGATCACTCATCGTTTAACGCGGCAAAAAAATTCCGAGTAGAAGGGGAAGAAGGTGAGTGGGTCGTCGAAACGATGCCACGGGAAATACAAATTTTCAGCTCGGTGTCAGAGACACGCGTTTGTTTTCGGCGACATTCCTCGATCAACGACGCCGCGTGCATCGAAATCAGTTAAACGAATTGGACGTTGAATCGAATCGAGCGCGTGGTTAGCACGCGTACTTGCACGTTCCGTTCGAACCGTTAAACCCTGTCGTAAATTTGGGTCGAGGAGGAAGGAATCTATCCTGTTCTCGTTTACGTTGAAAATGGTAAATAGGAAAGAGAAGAAATTAATAGAACGGAATGAAAGGATCGAAGGACGGATCGGTCAATGAATAGAAAAGAGCCGAAAAGAGCCGTTTTACATCGTGCTGGTTACCTGGACCGGATGTCGCAGAGGTGAGCAAGCTTAAATCCAGGACCAGATTTTAAAAACTAGTCGCGAGTACAACTTGTTTCTGCGCATAAATACCAACAAGTACGGCAACGGGTATAAAATTTGGGTTACTAACAAGTTTTTAACGTCTCTCGGTAATCGATATTGTTCGCTGCTAATCGAAATCAACGGAAATGAATTATTCCGACAAATTGTCAAATTATCGAATTATCGTTAAAAATATGAACGACAGCGAAATACGAATATTGTTCGGAGTAAAAGTATGGACGATTAGAAAGACGAGGGTCGTGTGAGTACTAAGTACCTTAGACTTCTGGTAGACGCGTTGTTCGTTCGGTAGAAACGTTACCCATCGAAGAACGGTCGTTGTACTATAACTGGGTTAATTTTGATGCGCGTCGATTAACTGGGCTACGGCATAATTGTAACTACCACGGTTTCTTCGTTCTTGCTAGAAATAAATAAAAACCGATACAATTATTTTTCACGGATTTCTTATACATTATCTTGTTCTCTCTTTCTACGCACATATGAATATACATATATATTTTATTTTCACGCGTTAGTTTTCCCGCCGTTAAAATTACTTACCTCTGAATATCGATGAAAAAATCCGTAATATTTACGTCCGGAGAATAACCATCGCTCGAATCACGTAATAATTATAATACGTAAAAGAAGAGCAAACACTCGGTTATCGATTTTATTCGCGCACCGGTGTCCGTCCACAGGGGCTCGCGCGCGTTCGCGATCCAACCGAATACCGAACTCCAAACAACTGCGAGGAGGTGGAGGTTGCCTCTCGATCTAAAACTGACCGGTAGCTCGTTCGGTGTTCCTTCTTTTTACCAGCCAGTCACCTTATATCCTCCTCCGTTACGTTACGTTACGTTACTTTACGTTACGTTACGTTACGTTATTTCCCACTCGCGTATCTACTCGGCTACACATTACTAGTCTCGCGTAGTCTCGGCTTTCCTTTCCATTACGTTTCATACGGTGATCGTCTTACCCCTTTGCGAGCGGCCCTCGTCGAATTCATCGAACAGATCGAAAAAAAAGGAACGAAATACGATGAAACCGTACCACTGATAATAATAAAATTCACAACATACTTTATTATAAATTTGCGAATCGAACAATACAATGTCGTTAATTCTAAGGTATTTCGAGAACTCGCGTAGTCGAACTAGTGGAACGCTTCGTCCTGACTCGTGTCCCTTCCGATTCATAAAAATACGATTTGCCGTGATTCTTCGTGATCGTTAAATATCGCTGGATAACGTGTTCCAGATAACACGAGTGGATCGTTCGAAACGAGTCAGAACTATGTAACGTTTGCACGTGTACGACACCACGCACGGCGGGCAGTGCGTCGAAAACGAAAGAAACAAAACGGTATGCGTGATCATTATTAGAGGATAACAATAATAATAATAATGACAATAATAATAATAGTAATAATAATCACAATAATCATAACCATAGTAATAATCGTAATTACAATAATTAATAATAACGTTAGTTTAAGAGAAAATTACCATTCCGCTTAAGCAAAACTCAATCGCGTAGACGTTACATTTTTTAGCGTCCTTTTATGGCACTCGACGTACGCGCGTGCGGTTCAACTTAAAAGTACTTAAACGTTAACGCTGTGTCGCTTGCACGAATATGTATACAGAAGGAAGAAAGAAAAAATAATTAACGATTAAAATCTGTTAAGCTGTTTTGAGCTTTTTTCCTACCTAAATCTTAAACGATAAAAAACAAATGAAAACCTCCATTCTTGTACAACGTATGTGTGTATAATATAAAAGACGAGTCGTCCAATAAGATTAAAATCTAGAACGTTGTTTCGGTATAAATTTCTGATCGTGCGTAAAATTGATATGAAAGTAATAATGTTTGCTTCGAGAAGACAACGATTTCGATTACTTTTTTTTCACCCTATTATTATTATTTGAAATTCATGCCTTTCTGTTGTTCGGAGTTACGTTCGAACAGCATCTCCGTCGTAGACCGACACGGGAACACCACGATTCATTTAATTCTACGATACCTTTCGTCGTTTTATCGACGAATACTCTAATAAAATATTTCGAGTTACGTTCGATAATTGGAGAAAAGAGAGAGAATCGACGAATCATCTCATCGACAACGCTGCCACGATTAAATTCTATCTTCCGTTTCAATCCCATGCGCTTACGCGTGTATATTTCACTTATAAAAATTCCAAGTGACATTAAATGCTTAACAACACGTTGACTGCCACATTATCCACGCATGATGCTCGAATTTCGCTATGAATCATCGATAAAAGTATTTTATTGCATAAGAAATGGATAATTAGAAGTATTACGTAATTATTTAAAGTATGCGCGATAAATAGAACGAAATGTCGTGAAAATGATAGGCGAGATCGGTCGAAAACAAAAATACTATCTAACGAGACTTTGTACAGTTTCAGGCGTGGTGTAATCAACGTGTTAAACGTTTGTTTCTTCGTTTCCGTTTCTCTCGCGTCTCTCCGACATCGGAAGTCGTAACATTGTACCGATATAATGCTTCACTTTCTTTGTCAACGTTTTACGCGTTATACGAACGCGCGTGAACACGGATTTTTTATTATACCTACGGAGGGAAGACTAAATCGTACCCATTTTTAACTCTTCCCTTTCCCATTCGCCTCTCTCTCTCTTTCTATCTCTTTCTCTCTCTCTATTTATCTATCTATCTACACATACAACTATCTATACATCTATATTTTGCTTCGCCACTCTTCTTTCTTTATAACAAACACTGGTCTCGGAAAACTGTATAAATCATTTTCGTCATTTTATCTTGTTCTGCTTTCTGTTTGTTTTTTGCGTGCGTTTTAAATAAAAGCTTCACCCCTACCTCGCAATGAACGTTCGTCTTTCGACGAACATGTTCGCGATGCTATCTGTTATGCATTATTTACTTTGTCGAAAACTTTTACGTGATACCGTTGCGATCAATTGTACGTCCCGTAAGATTTTCACCGAAACGCTTTCGCTTCATTTCCTTCGTTTTACCTAAAGCTTCCCAAAAAAGTAAACGTATTACAAATATGTACATGTATAATTCGACAAATTCGGCGAATGTTTCAGCGCAATATTATTATTATTACTATTATTACTATTATTATTATTATTATTATGATCATCGTCATTATAATCATAATCATTATCGTCATCGTCATCATCATTCATCATCATCATCATATCATCATCATCATCATTATTATTATTACTATTATTATCGATACGCGTTAAAAACGTTTTCGAACAAGGCACACGTATTGCTTTTATTATACAATTAACGCGTCTTGATGAACGGTCGACGCTGTTCGTGCATAGATTCTCTCTCATCGTTTCTTTTGTCTCGAACGTGTCTCTCCCCGATGTCATTGTCAGATTCGAAATAGTTAGGAACTATGAACATTCGGCAGATTTCGTTAGCAATTATTTTGATTCGAGATTTCGGTGTTTATCGTGCATCTCACCGTGAAATAGGCGTAAGTCGTTGTCGAAAAATTTCGGAAAATATCAACGATTCAATCGCGCCCGAATTGACTGTAATTTTTTGCCTGTTCTTGTAATACCTTCGTTACGGTCGTTGTTACCGTCAACGTCATTGCAAACATCCTAGTAATCGAGCGATCGAGAAACAACCTTTTTTTCTTTAGCTACTCTTATCTTTTTTCCCGTCGGAGAGAGATCCATTGTTAATCTAATGCACGTTACATCCTTAACAGTTTTTAAAGAGACGGTCACGGTGACCGTAAAAGTTATCGCATTTTAAAAATAAATTTCAATCGTATTTTGTACATCGATGAACTTTGTTTCGTTTGAACACGGTTTGGATCTAGCTCGAGTAACGATGCGTACGCGTTTGCATACACGACGGCATCGATTCGCGTATCGCATCTACGTTCACGCGCATTTACGATATACGCAAAACAGCGAACGCTGTGATACGCCACATTTGATAGGCACAATTTTCTAACATCTTCTCTGAACGTTCTTATTATATCATTCTTGCCACTATATCTTCTCTTCTTCTGTTCCCTTTCTCGTTATTCTCTCCCTCTACCGTTTCGTTCAGTAAACTTTTTTCGTATTTTCAAGCATTCGGGCACACGACAAAACATATTTACTAACTAGGTGTAGGTCGGCAAAACGGACTCGTCCATGTGAACCGATTTAAAAAAAAAAAGAAAAGAAGAGAAAAAAACTTAATTATCGATATAACTAACGGTTAAGTCTTTGGCGTTTGTACCAATGATTCTTGTATGCACGATTCGTGACACGGATTCGCGACACGAATCTTGAATTAACGAATCTTTCACAATTCGAGGCTTTGCGTCACGCATGCTCAACGAACTATGTGTCCGTAACATAAATTTAAACGTATGCGTACTCGTACGCGTACGTGTGCTTATCATCTATACGCGTATCTCTCTTGACGAGTACGCGCGCTAGTGGTTCATTCCGCGCGTCAAATTCAACTAACAATATAATAACGAACGGTGTTCGCGAATAGTATCTATGTTTCTGAAACGATCCGGCCACGCGTCTCGAGCAAGAGAGATAACGATCGGTCGCGATAAACGCGAACGATTGATTGATCGGCGGTATCGATTCCACGGTACTGTTCAACCGTTTCAAAGAGGAAAGGGAGACGCACGCGTCGTTGTCATAGGCAAGCGCGTCGAGAGACTCGAAAATCTCTCTCTTCGACCAGTCTTATTCGTCTAATATAAATGCGAACGTAAACGCAACCAAGCTCGTAATCGCTACGAAATCGGAATTACCGGACAACGTCGTAACGTCGACGATCCGAGAAAAACTGGAAACAGCATCGTACGCGCGAAGTAACGTACTTTAACATTGCTTCGACTGCCCTTTCCAAGTAACCGGTTGAAACGCGAAAGGAAAATACACGAGCAGCTGTATCGGTACTGTGTCGATCGATCCTCGATATCGGCCAAACCACCAAACGAATATAATAACGGTAAAACTGAACGAACAAACAAATACTTCGGACGTTGTTCTTTGGCTAATTTTTATCTCGATTCATTCGGCGGAACGAAAGGGAAGACGAAAAATATATTTTCCGATGTGCGCACACGTAACAATCTTAATACGTAAGACGTAAATTTTAATACGCCAGCGCATAATCCTGTGTTTTCTTTCTTTTTGTTATCCCGAGAAAGGGAGGAGGAGAAAAAGCGCGTAGTAAGACTCTTTTTTTTCAAGAAATCGAAGAACGTTTAAATGCTTTCTGCATATCGTATAAATAGCGGGTAATATGTTATCTACTCGTTTTTTCCCGTTAATTCTCCCTTTTTGCTCGCTCGAATGTCGAAACGTAATCGTGTGCGCAGCGTTGCAACGACTACGAGGATGACTTTCCTTTAACCACGAATTACGATATACGATAACGAGAAATGTAATCGACTCTTCAACCTTTTGCTCATAGTAATAATTGAATCGTTCGTTTTCAATATGTACATAGGCTTGTACGTACGTATCACATGTACGTATATAGATATTTTGGCACATATTTGGCCGATAATCTCGCGTTAAAGTACGCATCGACGGAAATGCAAAAAAGGGGAAGATAAGGCGTTTCGTTGGGTCGCACCACTCCGTTTACAAGAACGTTGTCGTTATCGCGATAAAATAAAACAACATCGCGTTCCACCGCTCGATTGTATTCTTTTTTGGTTGACGAACGACCGATCGATCGGTTTAACCAGCTTCTCCGTGTGGGGTATCACGATCGAAGAACTCGAAGAGTACGCGACGAAGGCGACAAATATTCGTCGTTTGAACGCTGGTGCCCGTTCTTCTTCGTTATTTGTTCGGCTGCTCGGTCCTTCGGTATATTTTTCTCGAGTTCGCATCGCACGGTGAAACTAGCCGTAAGAGCACAGCGCGCAAAATGATGCGACGCGAAGAAGAAGAAGAAGAAGAAGGTTCGTCGTGAATTGCATTCGCTTGTCCGTTGATCGTCGCGTCGATAAATAGCGAGAAGAAATGCTGGTAACGACGAGGAGAGAATATTATGGTGCGAGGCATAAGAAGTCGCGTCGATCGGCGACGAGTAGTCGACGAGGTAGCGAAGCGAAAGAAAGTTTCGGTGTGATCGATGAGTTGTGTATGTATATATATATATATATTCGGTGGAGCAACGAAACCGAAAGGTAAAAAAGATCGATGCGAACTAGGAGAAAGAGAAGAGCGCTCGTTAAACCGGTACGGCCCCCTCGCGCTCCTTTTCCTGTTGTCGCACAGCAACAGCTGCTTCTACCAGTAAGTAAAGACACTTGAACTTGTCTTTATCTTCTTCGGGAGGCGTCGGCGGTGGCGTTTCGTCCGTACGAGGTTCGTGACCATTGCGCGTACCGTACGCTTCCGTTTCGCGTTGCATGCTCGAAGTTTGAACGAGATGCTGTCTAGGAGCGCTCCAATAAGCAGCTTCGTTGTTTCCCACCGAAGACTCGTCGTCGTCGTCGCTGGAAATAACGAAATAATGCGGTAAAACTCGGCGACTGGTTTCGATCGAGTAATTATTAGAGAAAAGGTTGAGCGCCAAGATAGAAAAAGGTGGAGATACGCGTACCCTCGTCGTGCAGGATGAGCAGCGATCGTTTCTTCGTAAACGGCGAGCTGTTGACCGACATTTTGTTCGATTTTCGTTTCCGAGTAAGGATAGACTATCACGCTTGGCCACTGTGTCGACGGGCGTTCCTCTTCGCTGTGAGAACTGCTCTCGTAATCGTTCGGACTGTCCTCTTCGCTTCTGAACAGGTCGATTAGAAAATTTCGAATGCGTTTTAACGAAAATAACATGTAAAGTTTGAAAAAATCGAAACGAACCGATACATCAACCCGGCAGGATCTTCGTAATCGTGATCTCTGCTACGTTTAGGAGCGCTCATGCCGGCCAACGAATCCCAATTCTGATTGGACCTCGAACCAAGACCAGCGGACGACTGTTGATGAGTACCCGCAGGCATTTTTTTACCACGGCGAGATATCGTGTACTGCAAAGGATCGTGACCCTCTCTTCGAATCATTTCGGGCAAAATTCGTCGTCTGGCGTTTATGAACCAATTGCAGACCTGCGAAACAATGAAAAGTTAGGCACGTGTCGATGAAGAAAGGAGAAAACTAGTTTAGAGGAGAAAAGAAAAGATACAGTTTTCGATACAAACTGACCTGGAGTACCGTGAGATTCGCTTCTTGACTGAGCGTCAATTTTTCGCTGTCGCTCGGATATGCGTTGTACCTGTGCTCGTAGAGCCATCGTTTCAAAATTTTTACCGAGTGCTTCGGTAAGTTTCCACGACGTTTACGCACAGAGTGGGTACCGGAGTGATGAAGTATTCCAGAATGAACTTTGCCGCGTAACGCGTTCGAGTCGTGTTCCGTGTCGGAACCGCTTTGGTCGTCGTCGGTGCTGCTCGACGAAGGAAACCGTTCCCTTGCTGAAACAAACGGGTATCGATGGATACATTAGATTCGGTAAGAGCGACAAAAAGTATGTCACAAGAGGGAGAAATTTTTAAGGAAATAACTATCCTTCGATAAATTGTTCTCGGTAAGCACGCTGTTAGTCGAGAAGGTCGTTGCGCGTGGAAGAACGGGTTTGTTCGAGGTATTTCGTCGAATCGGTTATTCGAATTTAATGCGTAACGAGCTAAGTGTCCGCTACTCTTTAAACGTTGCACGCGTAAAAATTGGAGCATATTCGAATAGACGAAAATAAATAAAGGTAAATAAGTAATAGGTTTGTTCGGTAATTTCATTGGAGAATCTCTAAAATATCTATAAGCGTTCACGGTACATAGACATAGCCGGAAACTAAATCTGCGGTCCTGGTTAGTTTGCACCGTCGACTAATCTTAGCATTCGAATTGGCAGTTACGTAAGGTCCAGTAACCCGACGGCATAAAATTAGGATCCAAGCTCGTCTCTCGCGGCTAGACGAAAACTATGACGGCGCGGAGCGGTGCGGCACGACGCGACGCGACACGACACGTAACGGAGACAACGATGACGAGACGAGGATGGTAGAAATAGCGTACAGAGTGTGACACACGGTATACAATGTACGGTAAGAAAACTATAGAAACACCAGAAACGTTATCGGCTTTCGATGGTACTATGCCGCGGCTAGTTGCTAGAAGAAAACGACACGCGACGACCTTAGTTTGGTCGGCACACGAAACACGGCTCCTTCCTCCATCGAGCTAAATATACTACGAGTTGCCAGCGAGTTCACGAATGCACCGTGCGCACTAATAGAGTCAGCGTGCGTTATCCCCCAGAAACGACAACGCGACATAAACGTTTCTCGCCTTTTCGCACGCTAACAAATAGTTTCGCGTACAATTATCGCGCCGATAATTTACCACTCGGCCATGCCACGATCGAACGCGAGACTGATACGCGCGAGCTAAACAGAAGATTCTAAAAAGAAAGGGGAAACGGTGTAGGTCAGTAAAATCGAAGTCATCGATAGGACAGGGGAAGTTTGGAAAAATCTGAACTCTAAGAGAATACGCGACGAGCGGTAGAACTTTCGATTTCGAACAATCAGGAGCAACCATATATCTTCGAACGTATCGATCGTTTAGCGACTAATTACCTCTTAACCTAACAAGTTATCAGAAAAAGTGTTCTCTTATTACATGTCTGCAAAGGTACATCGCGGTAGCGACAGTCGGTTGACCTGCAACGCGGTTGGACATTTTCCAAGAGAACGTTGCAATGTTACCAGACGTTAATTATTACTGCCCCCGTCGCTAACTTTGGAAATATTTGACCACATGCGATATAACCTTTCACCCATTGTTCTTGGAACGTGTAGCGTTTACCAGTCACCTTCTTTCGCTTCACGTTTTCCACCGTTTCGGGACAGAAACATAGAATCGGGGAAAATAACTCGTAACGTAACCTTCGTGACATACGCTGAAATTTACGTACGCGATGTCCGGTACATATTTTGCATCGAATGCAACGATTAATGAAACGCATGCGCGATCAAGGTTCGTTGTACGTTGACCGTTGACGACTATCGTGCCACGAGGCGTTTCTAACGCGTTTCAAACGCGTTTAGATCGGTCGCGCATCGAAACGGAGCAGAAACGATCTCTATTTTCGCGTACCGCGAAATCGTTCGCTAAACGTATGCCGCTAAACGGGTCGAAGCGATCGTCGAAATTCCGAAAAGCGCGCGGTAAACGATCGGGCAAACTCGCGTATATACGCGAGACGTGAAAGGTCTATGATCGATAATTGAAAAAATCAAGAAAAACGGTGAAAAGAAAAGGACTAATCGGTTATTCGCGTTCGGCTCTTAATTAAGTTTCGCGCACGCGGTAATCGCGTAAGAAAACGTGCGCGCTTAAGCGATCGTAAGCGTCGTCGGGTGGTCGGGCTGGTCGGGCAAGCGCGCCAATTGCGCAACAGACACCGTTTTTCGTGCCAAACTTATACGGACGACAAACGATCGATCTCGAAATCGATCAGAAATTTGTCCATCGCGAGAAAAGAAAATATTTTAGCACCGCTTATCGGATTTAAATAATTTCGCCGAACAGAAATGAACGTGTCTCTTTTACCGGCGAATTCGTGTCGAACCGATCATCGCCGATCTTACCTGTTACGAACATACTTAAACGTTGAGACGAGGACGAATCGTCGTGACACGGTATCGAGGGTGTCGCGGATGGCGATTTCGCGCGACGACGATCCGTATTTTGCGAACCGAAGCAAAGACGATCACTGTACTGCTGCAGCGGCCGTTGCGATCCACGATTACATCGAGGATGTTGATGCCGATGACGATGACGGTGATAACGTCGATGACGATGAGAATGGTGATCGTTGCTGCAAAGGCGACCACCGCGACAACGACAACGATGACATTCTTGCTGCCTCTGTGGATGTCGATGACGTTGATGCTGGCGGTCGTGATAATAGCGATTACGATACCGAAGATATTGCTGTCGTGTACCTGTTACTCTTTTGGTACCGTCCGTTTGTTCCAAGCGCACGATGAACGGTGGTAGCATAGCAATCTCGTATTCACGAATACTCGTGTCGCGTTGCGGCGCGTCGAATAGTCAATATCTCGGTGAGAAAGTTGAAATTAGTGGAAAAATTGAAAGGATAAGTTTTATCGAGCTTTACACGGTTTCTCTCATTTACCAGATTTATTCGAATCGTGTAGCTTGTTTTCTCGAGTATCGTAAGAAAAAATGCCGATCTTTTCAAGAGAAAATAATCGACAAATTATAAGCTGTTTCTCTCCGTTTCGATGAACGAACGATACGATTTCGTCGTCGAAGATCGCATCGCGCCGCGCAGTTCCGATAGCTTTTCCAACGGAGCCACGCGCATTTCTCGAGTTTGCGAAGGAACTGTTTTTCTCCGTTGATCTTTCCCCCCCAGCCCTTACCTATCATCGCCGAGTAAACCGGCCGATCGCGTTCGCCCTCGATTCCTTCGTCACGTCTCCCTTCTTCTTGGTTAAACGTTTCGTTCGATCGTAAAATCGACTTTGCTACCGTTTACACGTGTTCCTTTTTCTTTTTTATCGTTGCATCGCAAAGAGCGTGCGTTTCTTCCGTCGCGAAAATGAAAATTTCCCGTTCTCTAGCTGTCTTCGACGTTATCCGCCTGCCGTCGATCGAACAAGCAACCGAAAGGATTTTCCAAACCGTTACGCTTCGCGTGAGATGCGATGCGATAGAACAGAACGTGACGCGACGCGCGCGTCTCGATATCGACAGGAAATTTGAAAAACCGTTTGAACTCGGCTGCGCGACATCCGGAACGCGACTGGGCCAATCGCGTTCGGAAGCCGGGCCGGCGCGGCGCAGAGCGACGCAGAGCTCTGACGAGGAACGAGTTAAACGCGAGAATGAAGGCATGCGCGCGCGGTCGCGAATAAGGAAAGAAGAAGGAGAAAGCGAAAGAGAATGAGTATAACATCTTTCGAGTAACGTCCCGCTACTCGGATGGCCATTAGACTCTTTCGATCGTAGCGCGGCCCCACTATTTGCCTCTTTCCCGCCATCCAGTCTTCTTCTGGTCGCTATACAACGGATTCCGTTGGTCGGCTATCCCAGTAACAATTGCGCGTACGCGCCAAAGTCTCCCACCGTCCGCGCACTCCGTTCGTTGGCGGGAAACGCGTTTCGTCCACCGAACGTGCACGCTTACGTGCGTATTTCGTATCGTATCCCATCGAAATTTTATTCCTTTCAGATTTCGGCTACCTCCGACCTACGGTTTTCTTCCTAACGAACACGTATCGCGTGTTATACGAGAAAATATTTTCTCTCGCGAAATCCAACTGTTGTTTCGAGTAAGTTTTCTCGAAAAGTTACGATACCGAATAGATCGAGAAGCAGCGAGGGCTTATCGCGTGGTAGGCGCGAGAAGAAACGATAGTCGTTTCGGTACGCGAACGAAAACGTACCGAAAAGATAGGAGAAACGATAGAGTACGAGATAAAGTTACGAACTAAAAAGAGGAAACGCGCGAGTTATAGAAGCACGAAACGTAACGCTTCCCTGCTCGGTGCGTCGATTTTCGAAAATCGAAGTTAAAACGATTAAGCTGATCGGAAAAGGAACTTTTATCGTCGACCAAGATATTACGGTATTCGCTGCCTTTTCCCTAACCGACGTCTCGTCTCGGATAAATTATACTGCCGCTATTTTTATCTTATCGGCTCGACTCTCGTCTACCTTCTTTTCGATCAACGATACCCGCGGCGCGATAACGCGCGCGCTCTCGTCGCCTCGTATTCCTCGCGTTTTCCATACATTCTCTATCCGATCAGTACTAAATTTACTCTCGTTCGACTCAACTTCTTCCATGTCTCTTATTCTCCTTCTTTTAACACGTATCCGTATTATTTCAACGCTCGAATCCATGTAAATCCCGTTCTACGGTACTCGGAAAGTAGCGTAAAAGACAAACCGTATCTCGTTAGTATCTCGTTTCTAAGTAGTTTGCGAGTATTCGTTAGTTTCCTTAAACGGTTTAAACGAATTGCAGATCGCGCGCGCGCAACTACCAACGAATTTGTACCTCTCGTTAGCCGTCTACCGCTAACCGAAACCGACCGTACTCTGTCGATTTTTTTTCCCCCGCGAACGCGAAACCGATCAACGATCGCGGTGATCGATATAATTCTATTGAAAGTTACGCAGGAAATTACTAAGAATAAATTGCGCGTGTTCGCCAAGCCTAATTAATACGCCTCGTGCCGTATGTACTTAACCATCGAGTTGCCGATTATCGTTTCCCGAACGAACTCGAACTCGTTCGTCTCGAAACTTGAAAACTCTCGATCATCCATCGGATCGACGATAACAATCGGACGTCCATGGAATTTTATTCGGGGATGTTTCGACGTTTCGATAAACTACCAATGTCTGACATGTCGAAGAAGCGTCGATTTAAGAGGAGAGGAACATTCCTCGTAGGTCAGTGTATAGAACGATTTTAGCTACGGCCTTTGAGCTACTCGTTCTTCCCGCTTCGTTACTGCGGCTTCGACTTGGAGCAACGACACGGTTGCTTCGCTTCTTACAAACTGTTTCGTTTCCACCTATTTCTACTTGCTCGTTCTATCGGCTTTCTTCTAATCTTCGAATTCTTACCGCAGTAAAAATCGAGCAAAACAGATATGTTCGTTAACCGAAAACTCCCCGCGATCTCTTAGGGAAAACGAAGAATTCTCTTGGGGAAAAAAGCTTCGTTCGGACTCGGAATTATTAGGATAGATCGAAAACGGCAACGAATCTCGTGAATACCGCTTATCTCGGCCGTATCTCGAACATATCTCGGCCGCATCGCTACCGGTCTCGGTAATACTTTACGATGCATTCCACCTATGATACCCTCAACGATAGCCTCTTTCGACGCTTCACGCGATAACCTCCAACCGTTAGTTAAGTAACTATCCTAAAGAAAGAAAGGGCTAAAGATTATCGTACTCGCTATGATTCTTAAATAGCTACGATTTATCTCAACTAATCTCTCGATCTTTCCAAAAACCTGTACGTAACGACTTTTTTCCTTTTTTTTTCTTTAACGGATATCGTAAACAATGTGATCGATGCTCCGTTAATCAGTCGACGAACAGAGACCCCCAAAAGTTTACGGAAATTATCGAGAGCAGCCGAGAAACGGTACGCAAGTGTTCTACTATCGGTTACGTAACCACCCAAAGATACGACGATCGCGCGAAACGGCGCTACGATCGTTTTACGGAATGCGTGTTGTTTTCTTTTTTCCATTTTTTCTTCGTCCTTCCAGACCCATTCGTCGGCATTTCGTATCGCTTCCCCTTGTCCCTTCGCCGTCTCTTGCCGATATCACTGTCGCTTGCTCCTCTGCTCGCGGCGATCTACCGTGTTCTCTCGTCTTTGAACTTCGTAATTCGAATTACGTGTCGGTAGCGCAACGTAACCTATGCGTTTTGCCGTACACCTACATATTTAACGCATCGCTAACAGGAGTAGTAACCCGTCAGGTGCACGACGTCGATCAAGGTCGACGCGTTTCGATTTCGAAAACAGCCAACTCGATTACGTAGTACTATACGTATAATGACCATTCAAAATTCTTTCTTACGCACGAATCTCGTGTCATTAGTTACCGCGATACCAAACTTTGTACGCTCGACGAACGTTTCGTAACTTTTCACCCGATATCGCGAATCGATTTAAACGGATCAATCTTGAAAATCGACTCGACTAATAATTTTCTTAATTGCGAGCACGAATCGTATTCGATAACCAACATAATCGTCGTTTTCGTTACTTTTATAGAAGTATATTTTTTACTTTCTTTACCGTTACCAGCACTACCATTATTACTATTATTAGGCGCGTTACACAATACGACTCGCGTCTTCTTAAACGCGTTTCACTGGCCAATGACCAACGCTAGATAACGCGGTGTATCGCGACCCATTTACCGAGTTGCAAATCTTCGGCTCTAATCCGTACTCGATTCTCTGTCTCTGTTTTTTCATCGTTTCGACGCTTTTTCCCATTCATGCAACCTTCAATGGCATCGCTCCTCGCTTCACCCGCGTATGCGCGCGCATCTCTAACGCGTGTCCAACAAAATTTTCAAATTATTTTCTGCCGAAAAATTTCACTAACGATCGACACCGATTTATCGTCGTTTAAACGGCTAATTCGCCAACCGACGACAAACGCTGTACCGCTGCTTTTCCCTGCCCTTTTTCTTTTACGAATATTCTCTATGTGTACAAAGTGTGTACGAAGAAAAAACAAAGAATACATCAAAGCCGTGATACGAAGAGAGCAAAGGGAGCAAAAATTCCTACGTTTCCATCGAGTTTCTTCCTATGTCTTTATCTAAAATACGTGTTACGCAATAGGTATTAACGTTATACGAGTGACACGATATGAAAATATTCGACTTTTACTTCTATTTGCAGTCGCTCTCCATGCTCCACGCAAAAAATAGGACAAACCGTTTTACATATTTTTTCTGATCCACGCTTTACGCGAATAATAGTGTTTGTACGCTTTTTCGTGTTCGTATCTAAGAAACCTCTGAAATGTATTTCGCGTGCAAAAATGTCAGTTTTTGCAATGTCGAGAAAACAAAAGGCGACGCATTGTTTGCTAACGAGAAAAAAAAAGAAACGTCGCTTTTATCTTCGAAATTCCGTTCTATTCTGGCAGATCGTGTAAATTGAAGAATTTTACCGCGCGTAAGATCGTTTGTCGAATCGAAGAAAGAAAGTGGATGAAAATTTGATTATTTAATCGCGATAAATGATAGAACGCGTATAACACGTGCGCTAACCAAACGACGAACGAGCGAGCAAACAGGCGAACAAGCAAGCATGGAAGGTACGAGGGAAAAAGCAGAATGACAGTTGGTAATTATAACGAAGAGCAGCGGATTCCGTGGAACAAGAGCGGTGAGCCCCGTAGAAGTAACCAAGTCCGCGCTGTAGCGCGCCACCACGTGCCCGACTGGCTAGCTGCTTTGCTGGCTGCGTGCTGCGTGCTACCGAGCTAACCACGCGCCGTACCATTGTAAATGATGGCGTCGCGCGATATGATTTTCGACGTAACCACCGAATAAAATATAAAATACTGCCTAAATTAACTGCTTCGAATAAATAGAATCGAATAATTGACTCGTAACGATAGGCCGATCGATCGATTACTCTCTTTCCACTTACCGATACGATGCTCCATCGCGAACAGAATCAGCTAGACGTAACGAACACGCGGTCCAGTAACGTCCTCGTGGGCCAAAAACGTTTGTCCGTTGCTTGATCGACTGTCAAACAGAAACAAAAACTTAGAAGCGAAGAAAAATAAACGCTGTCGACCGATTATTCTATCGCGAGTAAAAGTCACGTTGCACGTGTATATATTGGTTACGCGAACTTGACCAATCGTACGGAAGAAAAGAAATGGGGAAAGAAATGAAAAAAAAAACTCACGCAATCGGACCATCGATTCGTAGAGACACGCGTACACTAACGTAACAAAATAATGGTATGATCGCGCGTAATACGTCGATCGACTCGATTTTCGTTAACCATCGGGTTCGAATACGCGATACAGCGATGACAGCCACCACTAAAACATAGAGTACGGATACCCTCTGTCCATACCGTGAAACGAAAGAGCACGCGGCGAGTAGCGGCGGCTTCTTTCCTCCTCGCGTTTTCTTCTCGGACTAACTGATTCGTTGTTCGACAACTTGTCGGCCTATCTCTGCCTAATTTCCCGACGTTTTTTTTCACTCGCACTCTCGATTTCTCCCCGAATTACTTCCCGTTACGATCAGTCTCTCGTTCTCTCTGACAGATAAACACTACGAATGCGGCGGGTTCTCGTACCGTGTGCGCCAGCGTCACTACGATTGACAGTCGGCGCTGATGACAGACAGGTGCGCCCGCCTTCCGGCCTAACGAGTCGGCAACCTACCGTTCTTGCTTGCCTATCTTTCTCTCCTTCTTCCGTTTCTTTCTTCCTTCCTTCGTTTCTTCTTTCTTCCTTTCTTTCTTTCTTTCCTTCGTTCGTTCGTTAACGTATCCGTTTGCCCGCCTGTCCGTCTGCCCGCCAACTGCTTTCGCACGTTATACCATTCCTAACGTTCGTACGTTTCCTATGTTCTTTCAACATTTTACTGCCATCTAGCGACATTATACACGAAACACGTCTATCCTAACCAATTTTCATTCTCTATTTTCCTGTGGAGTTTCACCCTGTGAAAATAAATCATTGTACCGTTTTTAATCGTAAATCTTATTTCATACATATATGTATTTATTCCGCTATCGATTTTTGTTCGTTTTAAACTTTTTTTTTGCGATCAATTTTTACGAACCTTCGTATGCTCGCGTTAATGATTATTATGTCACGCCGAGTTCGTTAATAACGTTCGTTAAAATTATCGATAATAAGACATATGCAATAATTCGTTTCATAAGATATCGGTGCAATCGTTCTCTTTATTTTCTTTATTATGAATTATACATATTTTTATGATACTTTCCGTATTAGTATCGAACTAAGAGTAATCTGTTACGGAATTTTCCATTCTTCCGCTTGCTTTTTGACGTTCAATGCGAAAACTTTACTATGCGTGTCTACTGTACATCCAAGGAAAAACTTATGCCACACAATTTTTATACTTTAATTTTAAACATAAAAATAGCTAATATGGGGGGTCGGTATATAGGTTCTCTGTCCTTTTTTCATCTGACGTTGATGCTCTGCATACATCGCCTCTAACCTCAAATTCTGTTTCATGTTGTAAACGCATTCGTACAAGTCATCTAATAATTCTTGACATTTGTCTTTTCCTCGGAAATATCCATAAGCTGATACACATTCGGCAGCTGCCAACTCGACGTTTCTACATCTTGGACTCCATTGAACGGGTTGAAAATGACCCGATGCTCTATTTACTCCGGATACAAAAAAAGCGTCAGACTGCTCCATGTTTCTGAAAATTATTGCTATTACTAGAAATTGTTCCTTCTTTTCTTTTTTCTTTTCCTATACCGTCATGTACTGCACGAGAATAACTATTTATATTATAATATTATAATTAATATTACCGTTAAATTTCTTAAAAAGCTAAAATAGTCAGCTGATAAAATCCAATTTGAAAGAATGATACCTTTATTATACTTTCTTATTAAATAAATTGCGTATCTGTCATCGTAACCTCTATATAATTTTCATTTTGCAAATATCCTATGCTTTGTCATATTTTTATATCAATTTATACCGTGCAAATTAAATCTTGGATTGACACATTACGTACCTAACGAAAAAAATTCGTTTTTATTTGAGTAAATTGATCAATTTGTGTTCAAACTATTCTCCCCAACGTTTACATAATCAAATACCGAAGACACTACTATGCGCACTGTCAATTCTCATTAATGTCTGCTCTCACTGTCGCCATCTATATTAAACACACATTTTCCGTTTTATGAGAAAACATAGTACGTAAACGATGATATCTAACAGGAAGTAAGGATTTTTCTATTTACGAATGTACTTCAAAAAAGAGATATCTACATTCAACAACAATACATTTAATTATATTTTTTTTTTATCTTTTTCATAAAAGTCTTATGATTTATTGGTCAATATACTGTTACATTTCTTACGCATTATCATTTAATCCTATAATTCATCAGTGGTGACTGTACAAGTTTGTTTTAATTATAATAAGAAATCAGAAATTTCATTATATAAATGCATACTGTGTAACTTTCGTTCTATCGAGTTTAACATAAAATTAGGTAAAGTGATATGCGTTTGTTTTGAATCTGAGAAAATTAGGGTGCAACTATAACACAGATACTTTTTAACGATATACCAATGTAAAGACTGTTTCTGAAGTGGATTAGTAAGATGACAACATTTTGCTCCTTTCAAATTATTTGAACATTTAATGTTTTTCTTGTCTGCGATGCTCGACGACGAATCTACGAAAGTTGTGGAAACTTGTTTGGAAAATAATTTTGCTCGTGTAACTGAAAGCGATCCTTCTCCGGAACAACGAGAATCTAAAGGCATTTCGCAGAGTATGCAAGTGTCGTTTTCGACGTCGACTTCGATATTCACGTTATTCTTCGAATCATCGAATTTCTCTAATTTTGAGGCTAATTTTTCACTGGTACGATATATCGTAGGCACAGTACTATAGAATTCAGAATCTAATTGACAAACAAAATTTCTCGCGGCAGCTCGTATGGAAGCAACGAAAGAATGATTATATTTTTGACAAGTAATAATGGGACATAATTTATGACAATTTAAATATCCGACAATATCTTCTCCTGTCAAATCCTTCAATGGTCTGAACAATGTCGTATCTGTGCATCTTGCGTCGGAGAAAGTAACGTCGAAAGGTAATTGAGATCCTCGACCGGTCGATACGTTTCCAAGTACTTTTATTGCAAGATCGACCGATGTATCGGCAACAAAAATTTTGTTGCAATTTAAACGACGAGCTGCGGAAACGAGTAATTTACGTCTCAATTGTCTCAATAATTCGTCTCTTGACGTGTCACTTTCTAATCGATCAAACATTTCTTGTACCACTGTATCTTCTCTGGTAGTGCCTATTTCTAACGTGTCTGCTAGTTGAATTTCTTCACGGACATTATCGTTTATACATCTTGATAGAGGTAGAATATATGTTAACAACTGTGTACTTTTTGCTTCGTTGACCAATGCATTTCTAATACATTGTCTTTCTTCCACCGAACGACCTTTTGCCATGCCATCTGTATAAAGATGTAAAGAAAATATATAAATATACGTTATGCGTCTACTTTCTTTTCTAATAAAAATATATTTATTATCATTATTACTATGGACCTCAGAGCCAAAAACATAAATGAAAAAAACGTCTAAGCTTACCGTCTATGTACAAAACTTTACAATGAAAAGGAATCTTTTTGAAGGTAGATTCGTTGATATTAGCTGCGATAAGATGCACGAGTACAGTCGAATTTGCTTTCCCCGAATGGGCAACAAGTACCGTATCGGTTGGTCGTATCGCTTTAGATTTGCCCAATGTTGCTTTAAATTTATGCGTTAATATGCCCAAGAAACATACTTTGCAATAATTGTTTTTGTTCCTTAATGAAACCTGAATTTCGTTAGATCCACACACTTTACACAAAGATTTAATATCGGGTAGTGAAGTAGCATTACTGTCGGAAGTAATTCTGTAAAAAACGATCTTATAAGAATATAAAGCAATCTAAAAAATGAAATGCTTACCTGTCTCTTGTCGGTATTTCCGTTTCAACAGAATCGTATTCAAATTCGCTTAACGTACACATTATGTGCAATTATTTTACCTTGATCAGTAATCGATTCTCTAGCAGTCCATCGAGTTCATTCAAAATAAAATATAGCTTGTGCTTCTTTAAAAAATATCATTCATAATAAATAGCAGTACATATTATACGAATAATCTACAATAATTATCAACAAATTTTGCATCACCGATAATTATCAACAAATAATGAGGTTATGTTTCAGGTTGGAATTGCGCATGAACGCGGTGCAAGTACATGGGTCATAGGAATTTGTTTCCATTGGTATTGGTAGCCATTTTCCCGAAGAAAACGAAATTTACAGTCGAGTACATATCCATGTGTCTATGATACAAGTATTCCATGGCTATGCACGTGCGAGAGTATTTGTATTGTATAGTTCGGAGGTAAAAAGAAGACGAAAATTATTAATTAAGAGAAAGAATTAATATTTAAACGATACATTTGTAAGAATGATTAACATGTGGAACGCGATAAATATACTCAGGTAATTGTTAGAAGAGAGAAAAAAGTAATTTTATCTTGCGATATATTCGTTTCTCGTTTCAGGTTACCTCTGCACTCTTATAAAAACGTACGTAACGTTTCTACTTATATACATCCGTTATATTTCCGAGCGACGTCCGTACTTTTGTAAGTAAAATTTAAAAATTCTGGTGTCATTGAAAATTAATTAATCGTAAAGTTTTCGAAAGTATATCAACAATGTACCTTGATATTACTGTGTCGTAGATACGGTAGATGTTTTATGAGATACTTTTGTTTCGTAGAGCAGAACCGCTTCGAAAGAAGAAACGAATAGATCCTGCGATCCTAAGAGCTAGAGAAGAAAAGAGGAAGAAGAAACTGGAGAAACAGATTCGTCGTTTGGAAAAACGTTCTGGCATAATGAAACCGATCATGGAAATAGATGTTCAAGCTGAACTAGCTAATAAGAAACAGTAGGTTCGCGTAAGGCAAATAGACGAAATACGTTACATATACGCAAATAATATTTTATTTGTAACTACTTGTAACATCGAATGTCTGTTAGCCAAAGATCCCGTGATACTATGCCGTTGTCGATCGAAGAAATTAGGAATAGACAATCGTTAGAGAAGGAATGGGCGAAATATAAAAAAGACCAATGGTTAAGGAACTCGCGGATTATAAAATCCATAATGTTATCGCAAGAAAACGCGCTAAAAGAATTGAAAGCTGCATCGACGGAGCTTTACGAAAAAGCGGTAGAAGTATGTAGTTATATCGGTGATTATGGATTGAAAATGGAGCCAGATATACATTCTGATTTGGCCTTGTTAAATTGTTACAGTTCGACAATCAGTATTTGCCGTATAACGCTACTGGGCCATTATACACTCCACCGATAATCGATTACGACAGTCCTGATGGTGAATACACAGAAACTACTGTCAAGTACCTAGGAGAAACGTAAAACGGCGGAAGCAGTCGTGTACTAACATAGACAGTTTTCGATTAAACCATTACAGGGGAACGTAAAAGAGGTAAAGTTTCGCATAATCGCTGTAAACGTGTTTAACGAGAAAACTATTTTTTTTGTTGTTTCTTTCCTATTGAAAGTATGCAGAGTATGATTGATAAAAAAATGAAAATTATGTGTTTATAGAAGTTGCATGATCGATATTGATACATCCATAGTACAGCGTTACATAAATTTCGCGTCCAAGTTGATTCGATAAAGCATGTAGCTACTCGAATAAAGATACCTATGTTAAAAAGTAAGAAAATTCTTGGTACGTGTATATCCACTAGTCGATGACTCTTGTTTTGGATAGAAAGAAAATACAAGCGGTCGATGAGCGACGGTGATTTCGATTGGACGTCGTGGAGAGGCGATAGATAAACTAGACGAAAATTACTAGGTTCTTCAACTTTATAGCGATAAAGTTGAAAATTGAAGCGAGACGAAAGGAGTTAGTGGCTTAATATATGGTAATCCGATATGCGCGAAATGTTTCGTAGAAAAGGTAAATTGGATCAGCGGGACGATATCGTTTCGCATTTTAATTGTCTTTTACATATGGGACAAGCATCGATGGTTTTCAAACATTGTCGTAAACAGTCGGCATGAAAGAGATGCGAACAAGGCGTTACTCTTGCTTTGGTCATGTTACAAAGGCATACAGCGCAAACATCGTCGAATCGTTGAATTTCTCGAAGCGTCGCTTTTCTGTAGCGATTCAGTATACCTCGCTCGCGTTTCAACGCAGCACCGGATCGTTGCACGAGATCTTTCGTTTTCAAATAAACGTTCACATAGGTAGCGACCAATAAGAAGCTCCAGGATGTTTTCGGTACAAGTATCAAGATGAATATCATCGATGTAAGAACGGTAAATGATCCTAACATTACCGGAGCATAAAGTTCTTCGAGGCTTTCGAACATGTCCAACCGAAGAAGTTTCAAAATCGATGGGAACATCTCGGCGAAGATCTTTTCCGTCGTCGCATAATAGGTCCACGTTACTACCGTGTAAACCGTCGATGGTCTATAACAGTACGTTACGTATATTATCGCGATTGCTATATTTTTCATCTAATGGAATCGTATTTTATTCGGATCATTCGAACGCAATTATAATCGTAGAAATCTCCTTTCTCGCGAATCTTCGAAGCTAATAAAATGATCCGAATAAGAAAATATAGTTCTATTTTAAAAAGAACAACTCTATCTTCGAATTCGTTTAAATTCGAAATAATTCTATTGTGGCGTGGAATTTACGTATGTACGTAGATTTTTGTAATCGCAAGATATTGTAAAGTTACCACCAGACTGTATTACATTATATTTTATATGTATGTATACGTGTGTAAATAAAAGAAAATAAATACAGTATGTGTACGTAGATCGAAAATTTGAATTTGTTCATTTTGGGTAATCGGGTAAGTAAATGGTTGTTACTTACTTGTAATGTTCAAGACCTTGTTCCAAACCGAAAACGAGAAGCAGAAATGTAAGCGTTACGACAAAGGTGACGGCTTTGGTCCATTCGAGTACTATTTTGGTCGCGGACATAGCTAGATGCCTAATTTTGGATCTTTCGGTGAGAGTGACGTACGGCGACCAATCTTCTTTATCTATCAATTCCTTAACGTAGGTGATACAGTAAGCGATCACGTTGTAAAACATCAGGGTGTAGAGACAGGTCATTTTCGATTCCGGTACAAAAGCGCGATCGGCCAGCATCAGAAATATTATCTGGTTGGTTATCGTAGAGATGTTCTTGGCATTGAGGAAAAGGACTTCTGCTCGATCGATTAAACGGTAAAATCGTAGGAAATGCGCGCTCGAGCGTTGCCAAATCATCGCGTTGCCAGTACCTCTACAGAAAAGAAACATCGTACAAATCGAAAATAAAGCATTTTCATCGATTCTTCCTCTCTACTCGCCTCCGTCCCTCTTACAAGTAAACGCGTATTTTCAAAGTCGCTTCCTTTACTTTACTTACGCAAAGTAGTCGTCAGTAGCGGGGAATAGATATGATGGATATTATTTTGGATAAGTTAGAATTAAATAAATAGCTATTGGAGGAATTTTGGTATCCACGGAGGAATACACGAGGGGATCTTACCTAAGGTACATCATATTCACGAACAGATCGACGCGACGACGAGTGGTCGGTAATTCGATTTAGCAAGCTCGTTAATGGCGCATAACGAAGGCGGGTAACGGGCCGATGAATGACCATCGTCGTTTCTGGTAACTACCCGTCAAGAAAATTTGCATATTAATAGATGTCTGTCGAGGGAATTGATGCAAAGAGGGAAAGACAGGCTTGGAAGGACAACGGACGTTTACGACACACGGGGGTTAACTAGGACGAGAAGCGAGGATTTCGCACGGCAACCAAGATCATGTCGATCGCGAGGGAAAACCGTTAACAAATACACCGACGAAGGTTCTTCAACCCCCTGTTCCCCACCATTTCCTCGCTTTTCTCCGTACCCTTTCTTCTCGTTCCTATAAAACAAAGCGCACTCAGCTTCAATGGCACATTCAACGTCCTTCCGTCTTCGCGGATTCGTGTTTTCGCGTTCTCGCCCTTTCTATTCCTCGAATAGAGAGCACCGGGTAAAGAGCACGGAGTAGAGAGAGCGGAAAAATACTAAATTGGAATCTATCCGTTGTTCGGGTGAGCATCGAATTCGTATTCGAAAAGAAAGTGGAGGCGGCGAATAAGTAGGAGAACCGCGTAAGAGTATAGAATCGCGTACCTCGGAGGAAATCTTTCGATACGGCAGATATCGAAGAATCTTTAGAACTAGTCGTAGAAGAATAGGTAACGATAAAAGTATCGTTTTATAAAAGTAAGACGGAAAGAGTATCGTTTATCTAACGATTTAGTAGACGAAAGGAGCACTGTACTCAAAGTACGAATACTCGGTACGGTTGTTCCGTCTGACGTCTTGATCGATCATCGGCAACTCGGCCTAAAGCGACTTCGCGTCGCGCCGCGCCCTCTCGCTACGTTCATTGTCCTGAAAATATAAAAAAGGATACATGTATGCATAAAGCAGATTATCTTTGTCCAAGTCTTTCCGAACACTTTGTTCTTAAATTTAGCATGAAATCGAAACTGTCGCTTCGATCATTGACGATGTCACGGAATCGTGCGTTCAATTTCCAATGTATTAAGTCTATAACGATCAACGCGGATATATTTCCGTTATTGTTAGGAAAACGTTCGTTAGTTTATTAGAAAAAAACGAGGAGGGATGTATTTTGTTTGTAGCTGAGTCGAGGCGCTAGTTTCTAATATATTTTCACGATAGAGAATAGTAATAATAAATTTTGTTTCAGGTCTATCGAGCGAAATGTCCGGTATCCACGCTGTCTCTGTAGTCACGTTGCTGGTGGTTGTCCTTCTGTAAGAATTTCTAATTGTAACGTTTTGCTAATGTTCGTCTTGTTCTTTACGTTTCCTATCTACAAAGTTTCGATAGGTCCTATATAGCGAATAAAAGTTATGGTAATGAAAACGAAGACGGAGGCGCGTAATAACGATAACGTTATCACTCGCAGGTACGATAGATGCTTTGGATACCCATCGATCAGGCAACGGGCAAATTTCGGACAGTTGTGCAAGAGCTGCGGTGATTCTTGCGACAAATGCGAATTCGGCGTGGTGATGTCCCTCGCGTGCGGAGTTCCACAGTGCGCGAAGGCGAGTGATTCGCGTAACGAATTCTCGATTCGAGCTATTAACGATAAGTATTATTTTCGCAGGGTCCCGATCAGACGTGCGGAGGGCCCAGGGATCTGTTTGGCATGTGCGGCGAAGGCATGTATTGCAATTGCAACAAATGTACCGGTTGCAGTTCCGAAGAGTTCGAATGTTCGAAGAAGGATCCCTGTTTACCCGATTCGATCGTACAACTTCCTCATTTCGATAGATTTGGAAGATTGCCTACTGCCATGTAAACTTAGATTAGATAGATAGATAGATAGATGGATATACGCGCGTATGTATATTTATCGTAAAAAAGCCGACAAATATAACCGACTACGAAAGCGAAAGATTCGAACGTTTTCCGACTATGAAAATAAGTACATATACGGGGACCGTATGTATACGGGGAAGAGAATAGGTTTATTTTCTGTTTCACTAGTATCTGCTAGAGTGCTAGCTAGATGTTTCGGTTAAACTTCGAAAAACTGTCTACCGCGTGCGATCGACCGAAAGTTCGTAAGAGATGTAAGAAAGATGAATCTATCACGGTTCCGATGCTCTACGAACTAATCTAATTATCCCCCTTTATTTTTTAAATAAAAACTGAACGTTAGAAATTCCATTTGCCTACTGTTTATCATTTCGCGTGCGTACTCGGACATTTCTTCCGACCCCCTAATCTTTCCAGAGAAACTAATCGTTTTTGTTCGACACAGAATCGATTCGGTATCCAACATACGTGTATGTAAACAAAACCGTGAAAACGATTTCTGGATACTCGTCGACTCGTGCTACTCGGACAGCGAACAGTCTGACGCGATCAACGTTTCGAAAGCTCAAAATACTTGCATCTCGTGTTGTGTTATGTTACAGTATAATTAACGTAGGTGTATAGGAATTATTTTGCCTACCTCGGAGATTAAAATCGATGCTCGATGCTCGAAAGAAAGCGGTAGTTCTGCAGTGGAAAATATCATTAAAAGATACGTTAGATTGTATGGCGAACGAGTATCGCTAAAACATTGCCGTTGGACGATTAACGATCGACTGATGAATATTCTGGTAGAGTGGTCGGTCGCAATAGTGGTTGGCAACGTTATTGCCAACGTCGACACGCCAGTCGCGAATGCTATTTCGATTGTTTCTCGATAATTATGGATTCGTTACGAAGAGAAATGCCATGGTCAACGATGCCAACGATGCCAACGATACGATGCCGAGGATCCAACCGTGAGACGCTGCGGTGACAAGTTTCGTTTTGCGAAAAAGTTACGTTTCAAGAAATATTCGGAAAATATCGGAAATAAAAGAATAAAAAAGAAAAGACGTCGACTAAACGCGAAGAACGTTTACTCGTTGCAAACGGGTTACTTTTATTTATCTCGCTTAGCTTCGAAGCATGTTGCATCTCGAGAACGCGGTCGAAAAATTTACGTGGTTAACCAGCAAACAAATAACCGTAGGCTTGTTATTGTTCGGTTTGCTTCAACAGCTTCCTGGTTTTGAAGCCTCGAAAACCCGCTTGGATCTTGGTCGCGGCCAACCGAGCCGTTTGCTGTTTCTTTCGTACCAAATATCCACGCACTCGAGCTTGAATTTTAATCGCCGATTTTTCTTCCAGCGATTCTTGCCTGATCGAGTTCGGTTTCTTCGGGATCGATGATTCTTCTTCTTTTCGTTTCTCTTCGACAAGCTGTCCTCGGCCTCCGTATCGTTCGTATTCTCGATCACACGAATCCGATTCGTCACGTCTTTCCATTTCTTTCGTTCTCGCCTTCCGTACAATCTTGCTGCATAACCAGCTTAAAAATACATTTAATCTTCGCTTCTGTCTATCCGGGCAGATCAGGAGCGAATCGCGAAGCTCATCGACGCATGCGACTATTACGAACTTGTAAAAACCTTTGAAACGTCTGCGACGCTTCGCGCAACACGAGATAGACTGACAACGGTGCCGTGGAGAGACAGTTCGAACATGGATGTACACGAATATCACGATACCGTAGCAATCGCCTAACTCTAACTCGTTCATCGAGAATAATATACGTAACTGGCTGGTTATTCGCTTATTCTCGTTCGCGCATGCGTCTTCCCGATCATAGATCTCGCTGTTCGAGCGAGGCTTACACCCGGTGCACTATAATATCGCTAATACCGTTTCACCCGAAACACTATCGAATTAATTAATCGAGTACAGTTACTCATTATAGTTACTATTTATAGGGTTCTGAGTGGTTACTCCTCCTTCTCCCTCTGTTCTTACTCTCCCTTCATTCGTAGTACTAACGTCCATCGTCGTTCTCCTTCTCGTCGTCGGTTGAAATTTCTTCTATAACGATCGATTGCTTTGGTTCTTCGTCATCCAGCGCTAACGGTTCACGGAGATCATCGGTGTCCAAGATATTCCCCGCGAACGAAATACTGTTCGCGTTGCTCGTGTCATCGACAAAGGGTTCGACTCGGACGATGCAAGGTAGAACATTTAAAGAGGAATCAATGAAGGATAATTTTGTTTCGAGCGACCGCAAATCTTTCGAAAGATTGATCGCGTAATAAAGAGAAGGAGGCTGCTGCAGTCTCGATGATCCGATACGATTTGGTTCAACGACCGACCAGGGATGCGTCGTCGTCGCCATCGTCGTCGTCGTCGTCGTCGTTGTCTTTGTTGATATCGTGGCCATTGTCATACTTCGTATAATGCTCGATGCGAGATCGTCCGTGATGGAAAAGATCTTAGGAGTATGAGGTATAGGCAACGGTAAAGAATCGTGAAATTCGCTTGTATGCCATAAACCGCCTCTGTTTCCATTTTCGATCTTTGGATCTCCTACTTGTTTCTGAAGAATAAGCAAAAACACAAGTTTTTTCGTGTTTCTTCGATATGTCAAAGCAAAAAATGAAATATATACCGTGATAATTTGTAACGATCGAATAAGCGATAATTATATAAAAAGACTCGCCTGTGTGTGTTTCGGTGTAGAAGGAGACGCTACGTTTAAAGTTATCGTCGATTGGATTCGTTGCTCATCGGCTGCCGATTGATCTTTCTCTAAAAAATACACGGTTAGGTTTGGTGAACTTCGTATGTCCTGCAACATACCTATAGACTTATCCTTTAACGACGACACTTACGTGTTTTAATGGCTGTTCCGAAATTTTCGTTCGAAATTTTTTCGCCGGTAATTCGATCGATTGTCTCGGTCGATCGAGTCGAGTTCTTTCCATCTTCGTCCTCCGTTTCCTTCAAGCTCTGGCCCTTCTCTCTTTCCTCCGTGTTTGTTTTCGTACAAACTGAATTGGACAAACTGGAGTCGTTCGTATCCGTGTTGAATTGTTCCGGAACCTCCAGATTCAAATTTTTTATTAATTCTTGCGCAATTTCCTCCTCTATGTTGGACGAATTGTCTGTAGGTTCGCGAGGAAAGAACCCGTGGTCCCTTGACTCAGTTTCGTCGGTTCGTTGTCTTCTACGATCGGAGATGGTTTTCGAGTCCCGATAACCATTTTCGTCTTCGTCGAGGCTCGCTTTCTCTTCCGAGGGCAGCGTATCGAACGAAGACAAAGTGTTTTCTCCTTCGCGCAGACTATTATCACCGATCTCTTGTTGGTTCCTTTTCTTCGTTACACGGAACCGATCTTCGACGGTTACCGAGTCGCTAATTCCCAAACAAGAGTTCGTTACGTCTCTGAGAGAATCCAAATTCAATTCCGGTACGTACGGTCCGCTTTCGACCAAAGATAGAAGAGTTCCGTTTTCTGTCTCGTCGCTCTTCTCGACGCAACGAGTCTCTATATGCGTCGCTTCGATATTTTCTTTCCCATTCTCATCCGGAACGCCCGCATTCGGTATTATATCTTCCGATCTCTTTTCCAAATCATCCGAAACGTTGCTGGATAGTTTTGCGCGCGATACGACGTCTCGATCGCTGTTGAGATCTCGTTCCCGTTCGCTTTCCTCTTCTTCGTTAATATTCTCAAGGTCTTCTATTTTCAAGGTCATTCGATCGACGGCATCCGTTATTTCGCCGAAAACACCAGCGTCGATGCTCGTCGAATATTCGAAGGCTTCGGAATACACGAGATCTCCGAACGGTTCCTTTTCCTCGAACTGGAAAATCTCATCGTTTCGAATATTTTTGTCCGGGATAATTACGGTCGTTACCGATTCCGGTATTTCGCAAGGAGAGCCTTCCGAAAGAACGTAACACGAAGGATCGCTCTTTGCCGAAGAATATTCCGATAGCGGGACCGGAATCGAAGCTGAGACCACGACGTTTGACCGATCGATATCTGTATTCACGGGAGAAATATTCGAAGAAGCAGCAGAGTTCGGTTCGGTTACTGTCGCAGCCTCGTCGATCTGAAAATCGTCCTTATCATTATTTTCCCCTTGTTCGATATTTCTCGTATCCTCGACATCCTCCTCGTCGACGTTCTCGACATTTTCGGCAACTCCCTCTACAGACGATCTTTCGATTCTTTCCAAGTTTGCCTTTTCCTTCGTCTCGGTTACGGAAACAGTATCTGTATCCGAATCTACCCGAAATCCAATCGGAAACTCTACTTGGAGTACGTCATTAGAGTTTACAGCCGTTCCAGAGGAAACCAATGTGTTTTCGATCATTTTTTCTACCGTTTCTATTTCCATCAACTTTCGTTTAAGCTCGTTCGATTCGTTTCGTTCGTCCGTCATCGTTTGCTCGTGATCGGTCACGATCTTAGACTCGTTTTCGTCTTGCGGACGTTCCAACGAATCTGATCTCTGCGAACATTCGATCGAATCGGGAGTAACGTTTAAACTATCCTTGAACACCTGCTCGATTTCCCGCGAATTCGAGTATTCCAGATTTTCTATTTCTTCGGAATGTCTCGCTGTTTGCTCGGCATCTCGCTCGACGATGCTGTTTCCGGACAAAACGACGATCTCGTCTTCGTCTTCGCGATCCTGCTCTTCCGTAGGCCACGAATTTTTCTTATGGACGATGTCGTTCAGTCGTTCGTCGTCCCAAGTTCTCGGTCCATGCGTCAAAGACGGTAACGTTACGTCGTTCTCTGCTCGAATCGTCTTGGAGAAATCGGTCGAGATCGGGGGTAAAACCAAACTGTGTGGAGCAGCTGTTTCCTCGGACTCGGGTTTTTCGTTCGTCGTACATTTCTTACAGGATTGTCTGCTAACGACCGACGGAAGAACGATCAAAGACTCCGAATGATCCTTTTCAACAGACGATGAAACGACGTTTTCTTCGTCTCTTTTTCTTTCGTAATTATTTTTCGATTCTTTTCCGTTCTTTTCCAGATGCGATTTTTTTCTTTCTCTCGGCTGATTAGTGTCCCACTCGGAGCCGATTTCTCGCTGAGCCGCCGATTCGGTTCGACCGGTCGTTCGAAAGCTGCTTCTCCGCTCGGTAGCTGTTGCCGGCCGTTTTCGCTCTCGCGTTTCCTCCTCCGTCGTCGACACCTTCCGTTTCGATTGTTCGCCGTCGTTCGCGACCGATCGACTTCTTCTTCTTCTTCGAACGACCGTCTGCCCACGAGTTTCGTCCGCCTTTTCGATCAATCCACCTTCGATTTCGCCGGCGTCCTTCCGTCGTCTCGAGACGACGCTTTCGTATTCCCGCCGTTTCGCCTTTCTCGCCTCTTTCTTTCTCTCTTCCATCGTCTTTTCTATCTCTTCCCCGGTCTCGATCTTTTCTCCCTGCAGATCTCCAACGGACGACGATCGAACGCATCGATTCGAACCCCATCGAATCTCCGAATAATCAATCTTTTTCTCTTTATCCGTTTGCTCTTTTTTCACCTCTTTGACGTCCTTAACGTTTACGTATTTTAGCTCCCTTCCAAATCCATGCTTCTTAAATACTTTAACGGTTCGTCCGATCGACCAACCGCATTCGATCGTCGCTTCTTTCCGTTTACTCGGCTGCGCGTTCCTCGTTACGAACGGTGTCGTTAATTTCTTCGTCGCTGCCGTTTCCTCCGCCAAATAAGAAATCTTGCGAATCGGAAACAAAAGGAAAAATCGTGACAACCGGATAATCGGTTAATTTGTCGGAATAATTTGTCGTCGAGTACCTGCGGAACGATTTCGATGTTGCGCTCTTTTTCTCTCAGCTTCATCAATTCTTCGAAGTGACGAGCCGCGAACCCGTAAACATCCGTGGGTCGATGACGCAAGATTTCTCGTGCAAGCCCTTCGACGATCGTAGCTAAACCTTCAGGTATTTGTGGACCAATTATGTATCCTGTTCCCGACATTCTCGACTTGACGCTTTTTCTTCCTCGCGCCGTTTCTGTGCATCTACTTGCCTGTTACCGGTTACGTTATTTACCGCCGAATCGCTGCAACGAAACTTTGAGAATACGTGAAGGTACAGGAGAATAAAGTTCGCGAAGAGAACGCTATCGCACCGATTAAATGGAAAAATTTAATCGTTTACTACGAACGCGTAATATCGATCCCATGAGCACGCACCTACCCGGTTTCTTCGGTGTTCTTGTCGCTTTCTTACCGCTCCAGGCCACTCGACGATCACGTATCGTCCAAATTAATTTAATCCTAATGTTCGTTTTTAGTCCGACGAGCTCGGTTACGAACGAAGCGGAACGGAACACTCTGGTAACCTTAACGCTCTAACTACCTTCGCAACCCCTAAAGCCTTCGATCGATCGTGTCTCTACGTCGACCGCGTTATATTCCACGTTTACCATGTTCGCTCGCTGCATTCTTTCTTCATTTTTCGATAGAATCTGTTACGTAGTAATAAATTCTTTTTCTTTTATCTCTCTCCCTTTTCGAATATCTTCCGATATTTGTCGAACGTTTCGGCAGAGTTTCGCACGGATTTTTTCTCCTTTCATCATTTTTCCCACGTTATTTACTTTTCCGAGTATACCTATTAAGTATTTTCTTCTTCCTTTCGAAGCAACGAGCAAAAATCTTGGTATCGTGTAGCACCGCATTGATTCTCTTTAAATATATGCTTCAAACAGCTGAAAAATTAATATCGACGCGTTCGAAACAGTCCATGGAATCTTTCCTACTTAAATAATCACCGAATACCTGTCGCAATTGCGCCGGAAATATCAATTGTTCGATAAACTAGGCATTCGTATGTGATACACGGTAAACGTTCACTCTGATTCTACAGTAAACACTTCAGTTTCGACTGTAAACACGACCGATGTAAAAACGACACAGCGACAATGTAATACGAGAAATGGTCTACGAAATAAAACGCTATTTTTACTAAAAAATAGTTTTATTTTTAACAACTTGATCATTCGTCTTTATTTCAAAGGTATTTCGTGTCGTGTTGAGTCGTCCAACGATTCTTCGTCTAACGTGTACATCGTTAGAAACTCCGATTCGAGAGGATGCAATGTTGGGGCGGGAACGACTAAGCAATGAAGTGGCGGCCCCAGATCGGCAGAACTCATCTTCTCCAGTGAACAAACTAATATGCGTTGATCGTCCCATCCTACTCGAGCTAAACCCACGACGGCGCTAGATTTGTCAATGTCTAAGAAACAATAAACCTTGTACATAGATTGTTCAAGTTTGTTGAAAAATTATAACTTTCAACACGACGATAACTAGATTAGTATTATTCGCTATTTACCTCCTTCCTCTTTGACTTTATTACTTTCTTCCAATATCTCCATCAATTGAGTAGCAGCTTCCGAAACGCTCATAAATCGTGACGGCTCATATTCCTTCTTCTTCTTCGCGATGCTTTCTAGGGTAGGTTCTTTCACTTTGATATCCAATAGGCAAAGTGTATGTAAATCTCTACGTCTGTTGGATAAAATTTTTTCGTAGAAACTATTTGGTCGCCAATTTTCGCTCCAATATGGAATGGAAACAGTTTCTCCGAAACGATACAACTGTAAACCGCAACAACCAACCGCGGTTATAATGGAAGAATTGTGAATTACTTTCACCTAAATAAAATAACAATACCTTTTGTCAATAAGGGTTACAATCACCTTTTTAACTAATGTTTCGAAGCCTTATTTTTGTACGTTTACCTTCACGTTTTTTTCTCGAGCACGTAATATCAAATCCGAGTGCGTGGTAGCACCGAATGGATCACCTACCACTAGAAAAGCAACGTTTTCTTCCTCGGTTTTCGGTAGTATTTCATCCGCGTTGTTCTCGACCGATTCTCTATCGGCCGACAAAATCGGACGTCCATAATATCGCTCCTAATCGAACAAGAAATAAGAATATGTAACGTTAACGTTATCGTTATCGTTGATCGTCGTATTATTACTACTGTTATTGCTTACCTACCAATTCTTCGAGACCAACCGCAAGAATCGACGTGTACGACTCCAAATAGACACGATCGCATGTTCGAACGATCTCGAGACCTTTTACAGTGATGTCCGTAGCATCGCCAATACCTAAGCCAATTATGTAAAACATTTTTTACGAATATTTCTTTCGCATTTCTTTGCACAATGTTTCCTTACGCCAAGTGAGACAAAGCCGAAAACCGAAACATTAGGAATAGGTTAGGATATAAAATTCACGTGTACCAACATAAACGCACAAATGAAACAGAAATGTCTCTACTCTTTGGTAATAGTACAAATGTCAAGTATATGGGATAGTTCTAAAGTAATTTCTTCTTTTTTTTATAATCTCACGTTTTAATTATCCTTCTTTATTTCCTTCGGTATATATGAGAGAGAAAGAGAGCACACCTATCCATATGTCTCTGTTCTTTAGATTTAGGTTGGACTTTTCTCGATAGGATCGCTGTCTACCTACATTGTGGACCAATGGCCAAGGTATATCCATAATTTGTATGGGTCATGGCTACAAGTTGTTATGAATACGACGTGTGATTGTTACGTATGTTAACATTACCGAACATTTATCGAACATAAAGAGGGCTAGCGATAAAACAGAAGACCGAGAAAGCGTAAAAAAAATAAATGAAAGTTGCGTTAGAGAACTGATCGTTTTTACAAGCATTTCGATAGTAGCACGTATCCCACGTCTAACGTTCCAGCATTATTGCGCACGCGTATCGGTGTTAACTCGTAAAAAATTTAGAAACTTCACGTTAAAATACGCTGCGATACGCATACACGGCGATACGATATTTTTCGTTTAGGAATTAGTAATCGATCGGAGTCGAATGTCGTAAGTTTAGCGCGATGACCGACGAATCAGGTATAGTGTAACCGAAAGGATTATAAATTCGGATAAACAGGTTAGTAATGGTCACGACGCAGAATTTGCAACGCTACCCGAACATAACCTACTATGGTTGTCATTTGTTCGTGAATCCTATACTAGTTCCTGTCACGAGAGAGTATACTTGTTTTGCGCATCTCGACTCGATTCAGAACAGTTGAGGAAGAGACTCTTCCAACTTCCCACCAGTGTGGCGGCGATCTGCTTCTTGCTTCGCGGTTACGCGTACAAGGTAGACAAAATAATATATGAATAGCAGAAAGAAGCGACGACAAAATACGGAGCATGTAAGTAAATAGAAACACCGTGGAATATACTAAGCAAAAAAACCAGTGGATATGTTCGCTGGGCGTCGCGAACATAGTAAACGCGCATGTTCGTCACTTTTCATTGGGAAGGATATGAAAACCAATCAGAGGCAACGTGCGCGGAATGAACGAAAATTTGTCTTCCGGTAAGTACGCTCTCTCGTGACGAAAACCTAATCTATATACACATACGTATTCTTTAAAGAAAAAATTTATTGTGCGCGTAATTGTTATGACAGTATGGAAAGGATATCATCGAAAGTTAGTATCTTTTAGATTGAAAAGAAGTACGAGTTCACTGTGCAAGAAAAACTCTACTTATTCGTTGCGATAGATTATATTTTCGTTTCGTACTCATTTTAATTAAGGTCGGATACGATTGAAGAATTGGTTGGCAAGTTGTACGTTTTGTAATCGTTTCTGTTTCAGATACGGTATAGTAATAAACATTCCACGAACATTGGGGCATAGTTAGCATTGATAAATAAGGCATATTTGTGTAAAAGCCCTACAACTAAAAGGCATACGACTCTACGCTAGACCGGTGAGTTCCAACACAAAATATTGCTTGGTAGTACGGCGGACACTCAAAGCCAACTAACCATGTCTGTACAAAGTGTTGCTCTGGCATCTCTCACGGCCACCTATACCGACTCGGAGGGCGAAGACGGGGTGGAAGACGACCTTCAGGAGAATTCGAACACTCCCCAGGGGGCCGCCCCGCATAATGCCCAAGTCGGTCAGCCCCAGGCTTTCACCAGTCCCAAATCTGGCAGATCAGCCTCAAATAGTCCCGTCGTTGCTCCCAGCGTCGGTGGCAAGTCTAGTAACGATTTGCCCAACGCGCCCACCTTAGTAACAGACGTGACGTCTAAGGTGCAAAGATTGGTTTCGTACTTTGATGACACAATAGTCTCTGACGAGGAGGGAGTGGTACAAACACCGGTCGACGGACAACCTTTTGAAAACGGAAGGTCCTCCTCGATTACGGAATGCTCTCCCTCTTGTCAAGGAGAACAATTAGTTTCAGATAACGAGGTTGATCCGTATGGCGTCGCTATACCACCCGAGCCACCGGGACAGTGTCCTGCAGAATTACAAGAGAAGATAACAAAACTTTTTAGGAAAATGGAGAGTGGCGGTTTGGACATGAACAAAGTTATACAACAAAGAAAAGATTTCAGAAATCCATCAATTTATGAAAAACTTATTCAGTTTTGTAGCATCAACGAACTGGGCACCAATTATCCACCGGATAGGTTCGATCCGTTTAAATGGGGTAAAGATTCTTATTACGAGGAACTTGCCAAGGTACAGAAAGCGGAAATGGATAAACTTGAAAAAGCCAGAAAGGAGAAGACAAAAATTGAGATTGTATCTGGTACCGCGAAACGACCAAATAGTTCTAACACGACTGAAGATGACGCTAAGAAAAGAAAAAGTAAATGGGATCAAGTGGCAACAGGAGCCACTGTTTCGGTAAAGCCTACTGTTTTATTGTCTCAACCGACTCTTACCACCCTGACGTCATCCGCGACTGGTACCAAAGCAACGGTAATATCTGCTTTTGGATCTTTACCAAAGAAAAGACTGTAACATACTTTGTAAATCGTTTGTAAATATTACTCATTTTGGACAAGCAACGTTTCATTCTTCGTTTACTATTCGTTTTATCGCATAAATATCAATGCGCGCGTACGCAAAATGTGATTATAATTATGCGTTCGTTCGCTCGTTCGTACATCTATACATACATACATACACACGTACATACATACATACATCATACATAAAGTATTGTACATTACATTTTCTGTAAATCCCGTTTATCATGTTCGATTACTGCTCTTATTCGATGTTCATTTGGCTTCTAATCTCGCGTTATAACAAATTATCGTAAAAAATATGTTGCTGTCATAGTTCCGCAAACTATATGTACCTACAATTATATCGGATAGATAAATCAGTAATTGTCGATTGAAATTACTAGAAAGGTGTAGAGAGGGTTCGATAAAAGACAGGATTGTGTGGTATTCGTAAAATGGAAAAACAGGGTTTTTAAACAAGATCGGTTAATTGTTATTACGACGCGTTGATTTCCTTCGTGCTTTCTTTCTATTTCAAATTCAAAATATACAACTCATTTTTCACATTAATTTTTTCTTTATTAGATGTAATTCTTCTGTGGTAATAATATTCTTTTTTGCGGACAAATTAAAGATAGTAATTCGAACATGAAGGAAATTATTTTGGTTCTTTATGTATTACATATTACATAGCACCGGCAGATGTGTTACGAACATGCGCCCGAAATATTTCTATAAGTTAATGAACGTTGAAATACTGTTGTAAAATATATATAATGTAACATATGCTGCCATTGTAAGAATTTCGAAAAATCGATCGAAATTCCTCTGGTTTAAATTATCTTTAAAAAAAGAAAAAATGGAAAGTTAAGATTATTTGTAATTATAAATCTATGAAAAACTCTTGATGTTTATCGATCCAGAAAATTAGGGTTTCTTTATCTCTTTTAAGTTTAAATAAACGATTGCTAGAAATACTTTTATATAAAAGGTTTATTTTCTTAGTAAACCGTCATCCTAGAGCCTAATTGTGTGTATGTACATATAAAGATTGTTACTTAATAAATTTGAAAAATCGTTATAGTCTCGTTGAAATGGAAATTATAATTATCACTTTATTCGTTATTTATGCATATTATGAATATAATTACATTTGAAAAATTCGATTGGAGCAAAAAGTACTTTGATGCGCATACTATAGAAACATGTATATTTATATTTTTGAATTCAAAACTGTTCTTATTGTTATGAAGTAAAAAGAAACGAAAGTAGAAATAAAACTCGCTTACAAATTATGTGTATTATCAAATTATGCATATATATATATACATGCGAGTGTGCTTAAATATGTACCTAATACGAGTTTCATGTCAAACGTAGTTTTGCCTCGATCGAGAACAGTTGTTGTTACGTGATCAGTACTAATTGCACCTTTAAGAAAAAATATTCTTTTATCATTTCACTGTGCATATACGATATATACAAACACTAGATGTCGCATAATGCGGAGCATTTGTTTATTGTAACGTAACCTTTCGTGCGATAGAACTTGTGTCTAATTAACATAACCTGGAAGTTTTTAAGGATAAATATTTACTTTTGCATACTTCAAAAATATACGACTATACAAAAGACCAAAAGAGAAGAAATTATGAAAGTTTGATAACGGACAAAAAATTGCAATAAAAAGAAAAATATACGAAGAGTTGACATCAATTTTCGAACATTTCTATTCACATTTTATTCATGACTGGGGACAGTGCAAACAATACTGAACAAGTTATCCTTGTAACAGGTGGCTATGATCATACTATTAAAATATGGCAACCTCATACGGGAGTTTGTCAACGTACCGCAGAACATACAGATTCGGTATTATTTGAATGTCTAATATTAATTTGTACGCGATCGTTTATCATTGTTTTACATTCCTTTTATTTTTAGCAAGTTAATGCTTTGGATATTACTCCGGATAAGCACGTAATAGCTGCTGCTGGATATCAACACATAAGAATGTATGATTTAAATTCCAACAATCCGAACCCAATTATTAATTACGAAGGGGTATCGAAGAACATTACAGGCTTAGGTTTTCAGGTGCCGTTAGAATTTGTTTGTGTACTGATGTTCCTTGTGAACTTGACTGTAATAAAATTTGTTATGATAACAAATATTACATCCCCCTGTGTTTAGGAAGAGGGTAAATGGATGTATACCGGAGGTGAAGATTGTTCAGCTCGTATTTGGGATCTAAGGTAGACAATTAGAATTGAAGTTCATACTAATTTGTGATTAACTATGCTTATATATTATAATAACCAGAAAATAATATTCTAGATCAAATAGTTTTCAATGCCAAAGGATATTTCAAGTATCAGCACCTGTAAATTGTGTATGTTTACATCCTAATCAAGCTGAACTTATAGTTGGAGACCAAAGCGGTGTCATACACTTATGGGACCTTCGTTCGGATCATAACGAACAATTGGTAGGAAATTCATAGTAAAAATAAACTTGTCGAATGTAACTCGGATATTTAGTTGCATCTGTAATGGCAACATGGCAAGAAAACAATTCAGTGTTCATTTTACCCAACCTTATCTGACTAATCGCTTCGTTAAACAGATACCAGATGCCGAAGTATCCGTGCAGGACATTGCGATTGATCAAGATGGTACATACATGGCAGCGGTTAGTAATAAAGGTTACTGTTACATATGGACCTTGACAGGTGGTGTTGGCGAAGAACCTACGCGACTTAATCCGCGCCGTAAGCTTTCAGCGCATAAACGTTATGCGCTTCGATGCAAATTTAGTCCTGATTCCACGTAAGTAAAACGTAATATATACACTAAACGTAAATGCATTTATACGAACAGTTATTTGAACATTTTATATTTTGCATAGACTTCTAGTGACCACGTCTGCTGATCAGACTGCGCGCGTTTGGAAAACCACCGATTTTTCCGAAGTACAAGTGCTTCAACACGAAGCAAAACGATGGGTCTGGGATGCCGCATTTAGCGCAGATTCTCAATATATATTTACCGGTAACAATCATGCATTTTTGTTTACCTCGTCTCAAAAACGCGCATGGTGTACTTAATTTCAGTGTCTTGTTTGATTTAGCCTCGTCTGACGGTGTAGCAAGACTGTGGAATGTATCGACAGGAACAGTGGAACGAGAGTATCAAGGTCATCAGAAAGCAGTTACTGCTCTTGCGTTTCGCGATGAAGTACTTTCCGTTTCTTAATCGCCATTCTACGCGTATTTAAATTCGTGTGCAAAATATCGTACTTTCATATGTAAATATACGTACATACGAAAGTTGTCTTGATCTATAATTCGTACTGTATTGTAAATACCACTTTTCTACTTTATAGATTATTTTTATTTCAGTTTTATTACGTTTTATTTCTCTTGCATACCATTAAATAACTTCGATTCCAGTCTTAAAATAATTCTGCGCACTTTCAAGCCTGTATGTAGATCGAATAGTATATTTATAAATATACACATAACGTTATTTTGCTTTATTAACTTTTGATCAAGTTAATAAATATTAAATTATCCATAATGAACGTTTAGTCGTTTAATTAATTTCAAGATCTCGTTCTTAGGAAATAATGCACTCCTTTCTTAAACCATCATTGCGATGTTCATTTATTCTTTTCTTTTTTCTTTGTTTTTTTTGTATACCTTTGTTATCTCGTAAGTACTCAATAAGAAATGCAGTTTAAAATAAAGGCAATTTTTCTACTTCTCCCATTTCTGTAAAAGTTTCATTGTCCATAGTGTAACTTAACATAAATTTTAACGATACTGTTTCCTGTCAAAGATATATCGATATTAAATTTATGATGGTAAGCTTGAAAAAGAAAAGAAAAATATTTGCTATGTTACCTTATTAGGATTGGCGATCAGCATGATTTGTGTAATTGCCGACGGAGGAAGAAACGGATTATGACCTGGCAATTCAGTTCCAGAAGGTGGTTGAAGTCTACATTTACATCTCTATAAAATAAGATATATAGACCGTAATGGCTCGGAAACAAACAGAATAAAACGAAAGACAGTTGTTATATAAACGGATATACGTATATTAACTTACTTTTGGCACCACTGCTTGAAACAAATAATTGCTAAGTGGTTTTAAATTTTTGCTCATCGTTGTAATTACTACTACAAATACGTCTTGTCTTGGATTATCTTCAGCAAAATGAAGCACTACAGATATACCATTTTTTTCTTCGATCACGGTTATAGGTGGATTAATACCTTCCAAAAAGAACGATAAAATTTATGTAAATTAAATTTCGCTTCATATTAAATTTCAAATTAATGTAAAAATAATTACCCGGTTTGATATCTTGAAGATTAACATTAATGTCTGCTAATGATTTGATCTCGGGTTCTACATTAACTGTATTTGCGGTCGTTGATGTCGTCGAAATTGGATCCCATGCAATTAATCGATTGTTGGAAGTGTTCGCATTAATCTTTTCGTTCACGTTAGAATCGATGATACTTTGTGAATTTGCACCGTCACGAGGTAAAAAATTATCGAGCGCATCTGAATGGGTATTAGACGGTTTGTTGTTTCTCGTATTTGTAGATTGTAATAGGTCGGACGAACGCGAACAACTGCTGCGCGGGAAAATCGTTGTATCGTATTTTACCGAAGATTCGGTACTCGACGTACGAACTACAGATTGTACACTAGAAAAAGAAAGAAAAATTAGCAATACCAAAGATACCAAAATGATTGCAGTATACGATTAGAAATTTACTAGGTCCAATATGCGTTTCACCAACCTTCCTGAATTTGAACGTACGTTTAAAGCCGTACCCGATAAACTTTGTTTAAGCAAAGATTCTCCCAGTTCGTTCAATTCCTCCAGTGCTCTAGTTTTACTGTCTACTTTTCGTTCAGGAATATTAATTGATTCGTCTAAAAATGAAATGAAATTAAATCATTGACCGACTTATTCTCTACCATTTACTTGTTTACAAACCTTTTTTATTTGTAGGTAAAATATTGATCGGCTGCATAATCGAATCGGTCATTAATAGATTTGGATTAGAAACCGAGGAAATTTCCGAATTTTCAGATTTTTCTAGGGAACTAAAGATATCTCCTAGAACTTCCATGTCCGATTGATGATTTGTTCTTGTCACATCGGAATTTGCAACTGCATTTGTACCACCGCTTTCACAAGGCATATTCTCTATCGGAGAAGATAAATCTAACAAGTACGGGTTGATGGACTCCGTCTTAGATTTTACGCATTCACCGCGAACTATAATTGCAGCGTATTTCTCAAATACTTGTTCCAATTCGTCGCTCGCGGCAAGCACATCACCTAACGCAAATTATTCGAACATAATAAAATCAGTCTATGTTTACGATTTGCAGTTTGATAATTCTGAAATTTTTAAGTTTAAAACTTCCATTTATTAATTTATTAACAACGATAATAACAGTCTACTATATGAACGTTAGTTATTGTGTTCAATGAAATAGCTTCCCATGTATGTTTTAAGCCTATTCGACAAATGTTTACCTAGCATCCCTTCGTTATCGTGGATTTCGTTCGCTAATCCCAGTACAACTGGTTTTAAACGCTCGCAAGCTTGATGTAATTCTTTCATCAATTCAAGATCTTCTTTGCTAGTTTCGTCGCAATTGTACAAATCTAACATTTCTGATAGTAACCTTGCATTGTTGTGAACAGATTCTAACTCCATTATTCTACGTGAATTTAGTTGTATCCTTCTTTCATCCTGTAAAATAATAATTAACTTATTCTATGAAGCTCTTTGTCATATGAATTGTTTTTCGCTCACCTCTCTCACCATGGCTTTAATTAATCTATTTGCTTTTTGTAGATCATCAGGAATTTTACTTTGGAGTAATTTCTGCAATAATTTAGATTTTTCTTCATCATCAAATATCGTACTTTTAGTTTTTGATACCTTTAATCCATCTTCCTGTTCATTAGCTGACAATATTGTATCATCCTATTATGTCATGATATTATTAATATAATTTTTTTCATATTTCAAGTACACAATTAAATGGATGTAATAAATTTTAAAAAACAAATGTAGAACTGACCTCGATAACCCCTTGCTTTTTCAACATTTCATAAGCTTCTTTAATTTTTATTTCTCGCGGATATTCTTTTGTCCATGCATGTAACAACTGTAATACTTTTTGACGTACTATAACTGGTGTCTTACCACCTAAATACTTTGGCGAAACTAGACGAATCATTTCATTTAAAAAACGAAATTTACCAATTTCTGCATGAAAAGATGGCCCGCACCTTTTCATACATGTATCCAGCAACTGTTATAAATAAAATACCTTCTTAATTTAATAGAGCATCGATTTCTTTCCTTGATCGCACGGTAAAACAATAAAGAGATACACTCTTGAGTCTGTTATCGAGAACCTTGACACAAAACTTACGCTAAGGCCTTGAAGCGCTTCAAATTCGTTAGATGATTGAATACGTGTTGCTAATAGTTTAGCACCTATTTGAATGCCTTCTGTTTCCTTAGTAAGCATCACGCAGAATGCTTCGGTTGCTGCTATATCAGGTTTCTGATTTTGCGGGTTCGTTACCCTTTCTAGGAATCGAAAGAAAAAAAAAAAGAAAAAAAAAGCGGAAAAAGAGAAAACAAAGAATCACATATTGTTCAAACAATGTTTACAAACATTCATGAATTTAATTAAAGCCTAAGAAATACATTGATTTCGTTTAATACATAAAATCTTCACTTACGTATCAGAGCTTCGAGACTCGTTGTTACAACATCCATTTTTATAGTTTCGATAAATTTCTCAAATTCGCACCTTTTAGGTTATATCTGTCTATTTGACAGCTAACACGGAAAAAGATCAAGAGATATCATTTTGATATTCCTTTATTCACGATCTCGAATTTTTTCAAAATCGTGAATAACTTGACTTGATAATATCTCAATATTTACAGTTTATAACCTATTTAAATCAAATTCTTCTAGATATTACATATGATTACATTAAATAGTTCAATTTTCTTTATATCAGTTTTAAAACATTTTTTGACACAGTAGTTATTTTTAAAGTAATTCACAATTAATATATTTCATTGTTCATCAAAAATTTCGAAACTTTTTAACAAATATAAGAAGATTTAAACATTTGGAAAGAAAATATGCATTGTTATCTATATATGTGTATGAATATGCAAACACATGTGTATAGAGTTATATTATGTATGTGTAAGTTGAATGGTGTATAGCAACGAAAAAATGTATATAGGTAATATTTGTCTTTTATCATGTTATAATCAAACGGTAACTGTATAAAATGAAAATCATGCTAACGATAATCAGCACGTATAAACGGAAAAGTGATGCTTCTGCATACTATATGAGAAAATACATGAAAAATATTTAATAAAAATTTGTTATGCGGGAATTCTTTTTTAACAAAATTTGAATGTAACAAGATATTAATAAATGTGTATGTTTAATAAATCAATAAACTTTTTTAATTCTTAATATCACCAAATCTATTATCGGTTAATATTTATCGTGGTATTATTAACGTTTTCATTGTCAGCATTAGAAATCTAAGAATAGAAGATCGAAGCAGTAAAGTAGCATTAAAGCGTAAAGTGGTGTAAAGTGAAACATCTATAAATGGAAGTGTTGGAATTTCAAGGAATAATAATAGAATGCTGTACATATTCTGTTTCTGTAACAACTTCTATAACAGAAAATTTATACTACTGATTATATGTCTATACGAATCTCTTGTGTTTTTTATCCCATAGTCATATTATATGTCTTATCTAAACATCAGTGCGGATACGTTTATCAATTAGTAAACAAGTGCACGCGAGTACACGCAGGATCCTGAAACCTTTATGAAAATGTATATATGTATATATTGTTGACTTCACAAGAGAAATAAGTCTGAAAGTACGAATATTTGTTTATTCTTCATGTGTTGGTTTTGACTATATATGGATATGTATTCGCACAATTCTAACGCGAACCGGGGCACAGAAATCGGTCCAAGGAAGAAGGAAGGTATACACACAAATTTACTACTGTGTAATAATACAGATGGAGACAGCAGTAGGACGATAAAAAATATATTCACCGCATATCTTACATTTTCCCCGCACCCCAGTCGCCAGTACTTTTCGCACAGCAATTCGTACTGCAGTTAGGGTACAGTTGAACGATTCTACGCGTTTCGTAATATAAATGCAAATACCTAAATACAAATAATACATACATATATATATCCGAAGGTACACTGACTCGTTATTTACTGCAAGAATTGAAAATTTAAATATATCCATTATGTTTTTACGTTGAACTTAAGTAATTTTCATGTTATATGTTTGTTAAATTATCTATTAATTCTTATTAGTATGCTCATAATATCAATGAATATTATGGAAAATAATTGAAATATACTGAATTGTATTGATAAACAAAAGGAAGTTTAGAGAAGTACGAGAAAGAGAAAGAGAAAGAGAGAGAGAGAGAGAGAGAGAGAGAGAGAGAGAGAGAGAGAAAATAAAGATTGGTCCCTGGATTAGAGAATTAGATTTCTCGCTTTCATCTGTAATTCGAATCGTCGATTTGTTCTTACGCCTTTTAGAATCGCCCGGCTTTGCTGTTGTACTTTGCTTCTATAAATAAAAATTGATGTATGAAAAAAAACTGTAACATGTTAATATCCATTTCAATACGTTAAAATATCTGTAAGTCATACCTTGTATTTTGTATACTGTTATTTCTTAAAATGCATTCAATAGCTTCCTGTTTCTTTATTTTAAATCCTAATTGATTATAAGCACTCTTATTTGGTTTGTTAAGTAATTGATCCTTTTCCTTTGAATTAATACTAAGATTCATTGACTTATTGAGCTTAACTGTAGCTAATGGGTAAATATATATTTGAAAGATTCATTATAATGCAAGTACAACTTATTAATAATTTATATAGTAATTGTATATTACTTAATGTTGCATGTCTGTCTTCCAGTCGTTTCTTCGCATCAACGACAGACTCCAATTTACCGAACATTCTTTTGTGAATTTCAGCAAAATTTGGAACTTCTTTAGTAGCAAGAAATTTTGAATCTGCAAATTCATACTTAAATTTAAACAGTTGAGAACATATAGATATATGTGTAAAAAAATTAGATGTCCAATGAAATTGTACAAAGACCCAATAGAATGATACAAACCAGTGATAGTATTGATTTTGTTATCTACAGAATTTGTTCTTTTACGAAAGATTTTAGTCGATGATGTTGAAATATTCTTTTCTGAGCTTGTCTTATTCACTATGCTAGGAAGACCTAGTATAGGATCTTCAAACTTTACTTTTAAATGCTTTTTTTCAGATTTGATATTTAAATTATTTTTCTTCGTATTTCGTTTTCCCTTCAATATTCGTTGCAAAGTGGGAGTCTCTGGTTCACTAAGTTCATAGGTTTCATCCATTTTCTTTGTTTCATCTTGTTTATTTTCAGCAGTTATAGTGGTTTCCGTTTGTTCAACTAATGTATCATCTGTACTTGATGTAAAATTAGTATTCAATCCATTAAACTTGGTTTTTACATTACATTTTTTATCCGCTTTATAAGGTAAACTTTTATTTTCTGGTTTAGAAGATACCAATAATTTCATACTTTCTTTTCTTTCTGATAAGCATATTGTGGTACGAGTTTTATTCTTTTTGTTTCTCCTCATCTTTTGAATTTCTGCCTATTGCATCAATAATATTAATCTTAGTTGTATTGTTTTAACTTTCAAGACAGACAGTTTATATTTTATATTTAAAAAATAACATAACAGAATATCTACGTATATATATATATATTTGGAATTGAATGAAAAAATTAAAATATGTAAGAAATGAATGTATAGATAATAAAGATATATGATTTAATAACAAATCAGTATAATTTCATAAAAGGATGAAAATGTATTTGTTATACAATATACACGATTAAACTTAAATCTTACCCAAATGTACCTCTGCGTGTTTGTATTGGACAGATACTTTTACTTTAATATAAAAGAAATACTACCATAAGAATGTACAAATGATAAATGTTCAAAAGAAACAACAAATATTATCAAATACGATGAGGATCGTTTAAGATTTAAAATCAAGCGTACCAACTTGATATAACTAAATTCGATAAAAAAACACGTAATTCTCAATTAGGTCGATTGGTATGGTTTATAGGCTTCGACTGTTATGATTTTATTGGCCCAATTATTCTTTGTTATTTATTATTTAATAACGATTCGGCTTTGGTGTTATTATACCATATAATTGCATTCGAAACTTAATTTCAATTAGTTCTCGCTTTCCACCGCTTGATGGCGGTATGTTGTACCTATAAGTATTTAAATATAGTTTCATTTGCAAAACGGAACATTAATTGTAATTTTAATCTTAATCAATAATTAGTTCAAAACATACTTATATTATTTTACGTATACAATTATAAAATCGGTTAATGATAATTAGGGATAAACATAATAAAATAAAATAATTTTGATAGGTTGTTACGTATATACACACACATTATGCAAGCGATTATTTACTACGAATAAATATTACACAAAAGTTTCCACGCAAATTTCTTATCTTTAATTCATTTTCTTTTTAATTAATTTTTGTTGATGCTGCGCAAAATTACATTTATCAGGTTCGAACACTAGACGGAATCAAGAAATAATGCGCAGACTCTCTGTCAACATTAGTGATACCAATTATGTATATCCGGTGATCTTTTATTTAGTATACTCATCCACATCATTACTCTTTTTCCACAAATATGTTGTATAGGTAGATTGTGTATCCTGTAATGAAAGCTTTTTAGGCCTCTGTAACATACATCGATTGTCATTTCGTTAGTTTGCTAAATAAGCACCAGTATACACGTACTTCTTATTTTGCTTGATCACGAACGTCTAAATATGCTGTTTGGTAAGAACAGAATAAGGACAGAAGAAAAGCATCGAGATGTAATAATGTTAACGGTTTCAGCTATCTTCAATAGTTGTCTTTTCGTATTCCAGTTATCCTGCTCCTTTATGATGTGGAAGAGAAAAAGCACATCTAACCACGTATCTTTGTCCTTTAACCTTTCGACTTTTGTTATTGGACGCTCAATTTATATTCTTAATATGTTTATATTTTTCTCGTTATTCAAATACTTTAGTTCACCGTGTATATGAGCACGAAGTCAGAAGTAAGCAGTAGATAGACTTTACATTGGTATTAAAGAATCTCTTGAACGTAGCTAAGATGCGCGGTTTACTACGGTTTCTCATAATACAAAGTATATATTGGATATAGTTGGCTATTCTCCGAAGTCACATCGTCGGCCATTTTGTTAAATTTATTTCTAAACGTATCCCCTCCAAATTGAAAACAACCGAAGGTTGACGCTGTTCTCAATCTCGATAAAGTATTTTTGGTTAGGTTAATAGCTGTATAGAAGATATTTAACAGTAAGTAAACCATTTTGATTACGTTCGCTTCTATTAATACTGAATCGAGACAGAAAATTTCTGCCCGTGCACGAAGAAATGGTGCTTTAGCGTAGTTTGTAATGTGTAATTGGATGGAAGGAGGCTTGGCATAAAGAGAGGCTATGGCTACTGCTTTGATCATATGTAAAATACTATTAGCTGATCGGTCACCCTTTGTTTTTTTCATTACCGATCTATGTGGCACTTTTTTCACCTGATTCACGCGTGAAAAACAATTTTCTCTCCCGAAATGTATGTTATAACCTCTAAAGTCATAACCTATATAATATAACCTTAGATGTCAACATTTTAAATATTCGTTGCTCGAAAGGATTTTTGAATTTTGTGGAAAAATATTTGAAAATTCTATAAATGTAATAATCGTGTAATTTTTAATCATTAAAACGTGTATTTTCTAATTTAAATTCACGTATAATTTTTTTTTCATTTTGTTTGTTACAAGACTAGTATGAAGATATATTTTAATATGCAGAATCGCTTAATAATTTTAAATGACAAAACTTTTAACATAAAGTTGCGATTTAATATTTGGAATTAACGAACGAGTATAAGTGATATTCTTTTATAAAAATATTATATGCAAATGTACTAATTCCTGTTGTTATTAATTTTTGTTACGTGTTAATTAGACACTGATTTTCAAAAAGATACTTTTACTAAACGCGTAAAAGAAATACGTATTTAAATTTGATTTTATAGATATAAGTGATTCAATTAGACGGTATATTTGTTTAATTAGACACAATGAATTTGTTATATCTATATATTTGTAAGTATTGTTTACAAATCCTCTACACATTGTGTATCAACTATATTAACACATGTAATTACAATTATATATGTTTGAATGTATACGTACATGTCTGAACTCCAAATTCAGAGTTTAATTAAAAAAGGAAACAAATGAAAGATGCAATAACAAAAAGGAATAAAGTATAGGCTTGATATTATGTTTGTGCTGTTATATTTAAAACTTAATGTTGTTTTATTAATTTTATATAAGAAATGTATAAGATATATATTTTTTTTAATAAAGTAGATGTAATATACTGTGACTCTCAAGGTCCAGATATAAAAATGAACCGACGTGATATTGTTATAATATCTTATATGTGCATCAACAAGTATAATCGCGTAGATGAACTACAACGAAGAATTCTTTTTATATTTCAGTGATTTCAGTTATATAATTGTACGTTTATTAACATGGATGTTGCTGGAGATTTGACATTACAATGGGTAGAGGAGGTGGGAAATGTGATCCACGAAGAAGTGATATGCGGTTTAGAGGCACAGTTAGTTGGAGCAGAAGAAGAGGTGATAGGTGCTTGCGAGGAAGTCGCGGTCGAGGAAACAGTGGAAACTGTTCCCGATGTTGCTCCTACAACAGAGTCAGAAATATTAATGGTACCCCAGTCCAATGACATGGAATCTATTTACATAGTGCCACAGGACCAAGGTCATGATTATCTGAATATACAGGTTACAGAAGAAGTGATCGCAGATAATTGGGATAGATCTGGTCCGGAAGATGGGTAAGCCAAAATAAAATACATTTCTTGTCAGATTTAATTATTTCTCGAACTAATTAATATGATATTTTATAGGGTTGAGATATCAGAAACGAAAGTGTCACATGAAAACTTGTTGGAATATGACGACATGGAAATACCATTACCGATTGATCAAGATTCTTATACAAATAGTAGACCTTACCCGTGTGACTTTTGTAGCAGGAGGTTCAGGAAAAAAGCAAATTTAATGAATCACATGGTGGCACATCAAACAGATCGCCCTCATGGTTGTAATTTATGTGGAGCACGTTATGCACGTAAGTGTGATCTCATGAATCATTTGAAGATTCATGCATACGCGCCATCTCGAGATGGTTTGGAAGATGATTTAAACGACGACGACTCGTTGGTACCGGAAGAGGAAGAGTCTACTAAGGGTAGACGTAAGAAGGTACAATCAAGCGTACCAAGAAAACGAAAAAATCATTCTGCTATTTCAAAGCGCAGCATGGACGATAATAAAATGGAAATGGGCAAGTATGTCAATAAATCTTACGATTACGTTGACGAGGATATGCGCCTCTTGGAAGAGATGACCAGTAGAAATTCTGCGCGTAGTAGTAATTATGCATCAAGCTCAAGATGGAACGATCAGATGTCACCCGTATCAACTGAACCTCAGGCACCACGGTGGCCTATAACTGATCCTACAAAACCATATGTATGTCAGTATTGCGGCGTTGGTTTTGCAAGGGAAAAGGCGCTCGCGTCTCATGCTCGTATCCATGGTGGTGATAGCCCGTTTGAATGTACAACGTGCGGTGATATGTTTTGGGACGTTAACATTCTGAGGGAACATGTACGCGTGAAGCATGGTGGTACGGCACAATCGGATATGGATGAATATGATAACGATGCTACGTATACTGGCGATGAAAGATTTGGAGAATTTTATTGCAATACATGCGGTGTTCCTTTTCACCGTTTGGATTTACTTAAACGTCATCAAAAGTAAGATTATTTTATAACAGTCAATAGAATATTTTTATTTACGAAAATTATAAACAAAGGTTAAAATTGAATTTTACTTCAACTTTCTGCCGATTTGCAGGAAATTTAATAACAATGTGATATTAATTTTAATATTGGTTACACTAGGATTCACGTGAAACAAGAAGCTGATATGATGGAAGGTCCAAGTCAACATCATGTTTGCAATGTTTGTGGTGAATGGTTTGAAGAGGCTTTAGCATTATTAGCACATGCCGAACTTCATGCTAGGTATTATTCACTAAAAATCTTCAACACCTTAATAATAAAAAAATATTCGGAGATTTAAAAATAAAATATTAATATAGGTAACAATTTGATTGGAAGCATCATTATTATTATTATTATTTATTTTGTTCTTTTTTGTTTGTATATACCAGTGTAGTATTTAAAATGTATATTTAGTGTTAAGATAAATATTGACATATTGTTAAAAATGAATTACTTGTTCTGTTCAGATCACCCAGTCGTCGATGCTTATTATGCGGTGAAAGGTGTCGTGACGATGCTGAAGTTGCTGAACATGTCCGGCAAAATCATGCCGAGGACGCTCCACCAAATACGTGTACTCTTTGCGGCAAAACATGTAAAGATAAGCGTAGTTTATTGAAACACTCGTGGGTTCATAACGTTGATAAAACTTTTGGATGTACAAAATGTGGCAAACGTTTCCATAGCAAAGCTAGATTACGAAGGTATTTATGAAGATTTTAATTTGTTTATTATTCCAAAAGAATTTTCTACATTTTATATGTACTACTACATATTATAGACACATGGTATCGCATCGCAATAAAATGGTAGCCTGTGACGAGTGCGGAGAAGAATTTCCTGATGGTAGAGCTCTTGTTAGCCATCGTCATTCGCATAATAAGGAGTTGGGCGGTCGTTCTTTTCCATGTCGAGAATGCGGGAAAACATTCGGCAGTCGTAGTTCACAGCAAATTCATATCCGTATTCACACTGGAGAAAGGCCGTACGGTTGTAGATTTTGTTGGAAAGCGTTTGCCGATGGTGGAACCTTACGGAAGCACGAACGCATTCATACAGGCGAGAAACCATACGGATGCGCAATTTGTCCAAGAGCTTTTAATCAAAGAGTAAGATATTTCGATTAATTACTTTTTTTCATTTGTCAGATTGTCACGTGTTACGCAGTCGGTAGTCACGCGTTGTAGAGTTACGCGTTACAATGTAATTATGTAATTTTAATTGTTTTAGGTCGTTCTCAGAGAACACGTACGTGCTCACCATTCAGGACCAGATCCAAAATGCGTAGGTAGCATTACACCGTACTTATGTAAAGTATGCGGAGATGCGTATGGAACATCGGAAGAAATAGTTGCTCACATAGTGCAGCATTGTGATGATAATACCGCGTTAAGACGACAACCGCAAACTGGACCACGTAAATATAAAAGAAGACGTAAACTTAAACCTCATGAAACCAATACGATGTTGCGTATGAACGAACAATACGACATGATGGAGGCTGGTTCCGATTCGGATGACAATACCAAAAGAAAACTTGGAAGGAAAAATAAACAACACCGATCGAACATCGAGGAAGGATATCAAAATGTTCTTAAGAGCTTCGAGAGCTCTTTACAAAACATCAATTCGATTGTTAGTAACTCGAAATTGAATCCAGGAAAATCTAAGCTCTCTAAGAAGAAGCTTAGAAAAGAAGAGAAGAAGAGTGAATCGCAAGCCTCGTGTCATCCGGGTAGACCAAAAATGATTCACACCCAAAAAACGAGAGTGCCCGTAGAGATCGGTAGCGATGGAGTTAAAAGAGGACAAAAAACTAAAACTATGGTGACAAGGACACCTAAAATGATGCCACAAGAACATAAATTAGGAATTTTTCCGGGTGGTGAAAGAAACAGGCCGAGAACGAAGAATGTTAGTTATCATATCGAAGGGAAATTTCAACCATCAGCCGCAACATTCCCGAAACCAAAGGACGAAATTCCGAGAACACCAACACCGACGCTTCAGCAGTTACCGATAACGCATATAAAACTGGAACCTAATTTGCAGAAAACTCCGAATAATAATCATAGAAATAATAATGGTAATATTCTTGGCATGAACAATGAAAAGATGGAATCGTCGGGTAGAAAAAAATCAGGTGTATTGAAGAAAATTAAAAAGCAAAAAGATGGGATTAAACAAGAGCCAATGGATATTGACCAAGATGAAATACAAAATAATAATAATACTGAAAGTACCAGCCCCGAAAGGTTAATGGAACATACAGTGGATGGAAACAATTTAGAAGTTGCATTTGAAGCAAGTGTCACAACGGAGGAAGAAAATATTCTTCCCGACGTAGGGGAAGTAAATAATGCCGAGGATGTTGGGACTGGGAATGTAAAACTTAGTGTCAAAGTTGAATCAACACCTCAACGAATGTTGGCTGTCCATAGTGTTATAGCGCCGGTGGATGATATTCCAGAAACTATAATACCAGATGCTGTTGAATATACATGTGAAATGTGTTCTGCGGTATTTTCTAGCAGAGCAGAATTGTTGGTTCATGTTCCGATACACATTTGATTTAATTTGTTCGATGAAATTAAAAAAGGTATGCGAATTAATTCTAATCTAAGAATACTTGTTTAATCAAGCCAAGAGTTTTAACATGATCAATGAAAGTTTTCTGTTTATTTGAATTGGCATTATCTTACCATGCCAAAATGTCCTCTACTCGTTGCTCTATGAAGTGCACAAGTTTTTTGTGTTTAACGTATTTTAAAAGTTGATGCTGTTTTTAATTTACCACAGCATTCTAAGGTATGTAGAGATTTTCAAATGCACTCGAATGTTTTCAATTAACGCTATCATTATATCTTTTTTATATTATTCGTGTTTCTTTTAAACCAGAGAATTACTGTTTGGCTCAAAATTCATATTGAATCATGATGTAATGGAAAATGTTACTAATATTTTATACGTTTACAAATTTATGAAACCAGATGTCCTGGTCAAAGAATCACGATCTTAGACCATTGTTTTGCCATCCACAATTTTCTAGTGAAATGAATGAAAAGAAAAAAATGACAACACGCCGTGTACATAAAATGCTAAGGCATTCTAAATATTCATGCGAGTGTGTTTTATAATATTACTCGTTTATATAAATTAAATTTACTCTGTACATTTGCTTTTAGCTCCTAAGCGATTAGGTACGTGACAACCGATGCATTGGATTACCGTAGTAGATAATTTATATGCAATATTACTATGTAAAATCAGGTTGTTTCTCATAGATTTTTTACTTACAGTAATATTTACGAGTCAGAATAGAATTATTGAGAAATAATTATATTAACTGAATGTCTGAATTTACATTTGGGAAAAAGAAAAGGAAAAGAAAGAAGAATAGAAGTTCTAGGGGTGAATAAAATAAATCCCAAATTAAATAACTCTGATATTGTAACGAAGTACATACTTTGCATACATTGCACAGAAACATTTGTACAAATTAATTTTCGTACTATGAAATATTTTGTGACTCAAGAAACACGAAACTCATTGTTACTGTTTCAATAGTATTCATTATGTAATAAACACATGCTTATTATTATGGTATACTTTGTTTATACTAACGTATCTAAGTAGATCTAATGAAATTACTGAACCATTTTATTACATTTGGCATTATATACAATAAATTGTATGAAATGTTATATGTAGAATTTTATGAAGGAGCAAATATTAAAACTTAAATGTTACGGATTTTCACATTTTTTCACTTTGTATGCCGATATACATAACATATGATTCAGATCTGATTTTTAATTTTGTACAGAGTTCAAATATCATTATTCTGCAGTTTTCGTCTTATTTGTTTCTATATTTATTTCGCGTGTTGGCAATACATATTTCCTTCTATGTAATATGTTCATCAATGTTATATTGTTACTTATTACTGATGGGTGCTATCATTACGTCACAGTATTACATCAACTAGTACTGTTACAAATGGAAAAGAAGACGAAATACAGAAAATTTAGTTTCATATCATAGGATTTTATATTCGAGTATTTAGAAAATACTTCTCAGACAAATGTTCGCATCCTTGCTTTGTACGAATAAAAAATTATAATACGGATATTAAAAAGTTTTCTTATAATCGTAAATAACAAATTCAGTCGTGTTTCTTATTTCCGTATTAAAATTTCATCGGATATTATTCTCTTGCATTAATTTATCTAATCGTTTAAATGTTCTAATTAGAACAATCATATTTCATCTTAAAGTTGTTAAATTATGTCGTCTTTTAGACACTATATATATTTTTCACTGTTTCAATGATATTTTAATTTGTAATTTACATGAAATAATAGCAAAAACTATTCACAGTTTCAAATTGTTTGAAATTAATTGAATATTCATAGAATAGTTCATATAATTTTGTCGATAAAAAAGATTTAGAGCCTTTGTAGTAATCTTTCTTAATTTCAAAATGGTATATGTATATATGTATGTATGTATGTGTGTATTTCAAAAATGAAAATTAATTATATTTCAATGGCATTACGTGTGGCAATCAATCAAAAACAGTGCGTGCTCTATTTTTATAGTCAAGAGATATTTTGAATATGACAAAGATTCTGATACTATTTGTAACATTTTGCAAAACAATGTATATACATATATATATATTTTATTATTTAATATTCTTATCTGTATCTTAGAAATGGTATTGTAGTATCCATTACTTAATGATTTCTATATTTTTATAGATAAACAAGCTGATTTGAAACAAATTCAATAAGTAAGTTGACAAACGAAGAAGCCTCTTTTTTTTTCTCTTTTTTTTTCTTCTTCCAAGGAAGATACTTTTCTGGAAAGAGTACGTTTTAAAATTAGCAATTAATGGTTGCATTCTTGGAATAGCATCATGTTTTGTATGTTATGTACATACTTAAGGAATAACTGTTTCTTTTAGCGATATGTGTAATTATATTACCATTAAAGTAGCAAGGAAGTAACTTGAAACCTTTTAAAAATATTTAGTGTAAATCATTATGAATCAGACTTTGTACAGTCTCAAAACTGTGGTATAGAATATTTAAGGAAAAAGAAACTATTATAAGACCAATGTAAAGTAACAGTTTCTTAGATAAAAATAAAAAGAATACGTAAATATATATATATTATATATATATATTTGCATAAGACATATTAAAAAATTGATTCATCAGAAATCTATAAGTTATGTATAATAACATGGTTTTTAATTCAATGTTACATACATTTACATTCCCGTATAACGGTAGCTTTAACATTGTTTAAGCGTAATTGAAAAGTTTCAAAAACTTCTTTAAATAACGCGTGCATAGAGCAGCCAGTGCAGGTGGCAATAATTGCGACAGGTGCAAAGTCAAAATAATTTTGAAAACAAAATCCAAGAAAATTTAAGAAAAATTGTAAGTAGGAACATGTACACAGTTGTTTCATTTTTTTTTTTTTTTCTATTATCTGCAAGAAAATTCATTGCATGTAAGTATCCGTGGCTTTCTTTTTTATAGCTAAGTAAATTAAAATAATTAACGTAGAATATAATACTATGTTGCATGAGAATGTTTGAAACATTTTGAGAAGAATTAATTCTTATACGTATTACTTCAGTCGTAAGTTAAAGTTTAAGAACATGTATAGATTAATGAGCATTAAAATTAGTATCTCCTTAATAGAATTGTTTGTATCTTTCAGGGATAAAGTAGTTAAAAAACAAAAAAAACTGTACATATTATTGTCTTGGATATGGTACGGTGATTTATTGTTAACTGTAGACATATTTTTTTTAATAAATTGTCAATAATTATAAAAAATACAATTATGTCCGCACAAAGTCACGGATAATACAAAGTACATATAATAATAATATATGTACAATTGTAAATATGTATTCACATATATATTTTAAAATTTTGTGTCATTTTTATCTTATAATAAATTTGAAAAGAATATAGATTATAATTATAGATACATATTATGATATAATACACGTATATTTGTTTTGTGAAATTACAGTATCAATTATTTGATTTGTTTGATTTCGTTTGAAATGGGAATATATGCGAGGTACAAACTGCGGTAAAAATAAAGAAAAACTGTAAATTGATAACAGTTACATATAATTTGACTTTATATTGTATAAAGTCTTAAAATTTTATATTATAAAAATGATGAAATAGTGATATGGTAACAATGTTTTCACCATTCATAACAACACGTATGTATAATAGTGTCTATGTTTATGCTAAGACCAGGTAAATTTAAGATATTGTATCTTTGACTAGGGAATAAAATCACAAATACCATAAATTTCTTTTTCAAATCCCATACATACAACAGCGGCTATAACTAGTAATGCTCCAACGATGCTAGTTGATGTAGGACGGTCTCCAAAAAAGTATACTTGCACAATGTACGCCAAAATGATGTCCAAAGATCTGGTCACTGAGACTTTACCAGCTCCTTCTATCTTTAATGCATTAGTTACTAAAATCTGGCCTGATAATCCAGTTACCGCAACCAATAATATTTTGCTCCAAGTGATCCAGTCGACTGGTAACTTTGGGATTTGTTCATGATGTTCAGACACAGTAAAATAGAAGAATACTGCTGTAACAAGTGACCACCATGATAAATTGAAGATTATCGTTGAATAATGAATTTCTGAACACTTTCTCATGATAACTATGTTGAGTGCTGTGAAGACAGTTGCCAGGATAGCGCACACGTATCCCATTAGGTTGTATGGTTCGACTCTATGGACCTGTAGAGAAAATGTTTGATACGAAATCAATGACGCATAAAGATTGTACGAAAAACATACCTGAAATAGAAATGGTGGTCTAGATACAAAAACTACACCCGCAAAAAGCGCACATACAACTAATACACGTAATATTCCACAAGGTTCTTTTAAAAGTATAAAAGACAATGCGATAACAATCACTGGTGAGCTAAATATGATCGTCGTAGCATCTCCGATAGGTAATTTGCGAAAACTATAATATAATAACGATAGAGTTGCACCACCTACAATTCCCTGGAAAACAAATTAAACAGTTACCATTAAGTTCAAACACTTGTTCGAAGCCTATTAAAGATTATTCACTTTTTGTTACAGATTAAAAAATAAAATTGATTTTCCTTTCTTATCATACCTGTAAATGTAACAGCATTCTTTGTCCTTTAGGGCCAAACAGACTTTTGGAAACTTTAATTGCTACACCAGCCATAACTAACATTTGTAGAACAGCTCTGATGGCCAACAACATCATAGGGTGTACATTTTGAACTGCTTTGACTAATGCAGAACTAATTGTAAAAAATGTACCTGATAAAAATGCCAAAAATACTCCAAACCATTTGGTACCATCTTGATACGTTTCAGCATTATTAGCAAATTGTTCTGTGTATTGATATGTTGGATGTATGCTGTTGTAAGAAGTAGTAGACTCGATGGTGAACTTCATCGTTTTCATACTTTTACAGCTACGATACACGATTATACTGAACGAGACATTTGTGGTATAGTAGCGTGTACCGCTAGTACATCTGCCATTTGATAGAATTAACATACAGCTTTGCACGTCAAACAGATTATCAGGGATTAATGCTGGTAGGAAGATTTGGAAAATGTAACAGTGATCGGATTGCGACTCGTCCGTACATAAAACTATAAAATATAAACTATAATAGAATTTAGGGAATCTAACAAATGTTTTAGAAAGACAGGAATTAATTTTGATTACTTTTTTAACGAATTATACATATATTGATTTTAATAATTCTATTTACAGAGTTTAATTTTATTCCCAATATGTATTTTCTTCATAACGATGAAATAATTAAAAAAAATGAATGCCTTTTATTTTGATCTATTTAAACAACGAAATATTGTTATACGATCGAATAAAAGAAATCAATCTTTTCCAAATTGCACTTTAGTCGTTGGTTGGTCTATACGATAGAGTGTAGTACCCAAATTAAAGTAACCCAAGTATTCTATAGTTTCTGGAGTTGTATCAATATGATAATGACCTCCTTCTCCATGATGAGAGAAACTATGGAAATGTTGAACACGGAGATCCACATCCTGCAATTATAATGCATAGTTTGTTAAAACTACCAGAGCATGTGGATACTGTCACTGTCAAGGAAACTTACACTTTCAGAACTAACAAATGTACCAACAGCTATTAGAGGCGTTGACATGTTAAAGAAATTTAACCAATTATTAAGTTGCGCTTCGGTATTAAGCGGAGTTGCCGAAAAGTCTGGCATAATATGCTGTTTAATTTTTCCATCTTTCATTAAAAATGTTCCGCCTAGTCCTATGATTATAAAAACTTGATATTAAGGTTGACCAGATATCTCCTAATTAAATTTAGTAGCCATGAAATACACTTACCAACTAAATCATTTTGATAATGCTGTGCTATCGCTTTCTGCATACACGCAATAAAATCATCATTACCGGTACGTTTTTTAGCACGCACTTGTAAGACCTTACCAGGTTTGCCTTCGCTAACAAATAAATTGGCCAGCAAAGCGCATCTTGTTTCTTCGTTAGGCAAAGTTTGGAGCACACAATTTCCATTCGTTTTGTCAACAGACGAAATACGAGTTCCATTCGTTACATTGGATGATGAAATGGCTACATTCATCATAAGCTAAAAAAGAAGTAATAAATATGTAACAAACAGATTTAAACGAAATATGTTATACATACTAGGATGGATATACTTCGCAATTGGTGTTTGCGTAAGGCCATGGACCTGCACCAGCACCAACGACAAAGGAATCTTTATTGTATTGCAAGTGGTTCAGAAGTTGTCGGATATCATATACTTTATTCCTCTGTACCATAGGAAGAAGGAACGGTGGACCACCAATTTCTAGCAATGTAGGATTACCTCCTAATCCTGTTTTTAACACGACACAACATATTAGTTTCACATTACAAAAAGTATATTGTATTTGTTTATACTATTTACCTGGTGCAGCAAGCGTAAAAGGTTCTTGCATTAAATTTGGACAATCGACAACTTCAACTTGAAACTCAGCAAAATTTGTAAGCAAGCCTTCCTTTAGAACTATTATAAAACATATTATGTAATTACTTTATTTATTTTTCTTAGACATATATTATTTAAATTTAAATGTTACCTTCTTTTACTTCATCAAGCGAAGGCACGTGCAGCTGTTTTTTTGTTATATTAAGTTCGTTAACATCTAAAGTGGCCATAGTTGATATATCGATGGGTAGTTAACTAAAAATTTATTTGTAAAATATTAATATCGTTTTGAAAAGAATGGAAGTATAAAATTGAAACGTAGGAATATGAAATGATAAAAACAACTACTCGATGCGATATCAATTTCCTTTAGATAAAAATTAAGCGGTTGTGTCAGCGGAAAGCTGCGAAAGAACTGATGGAAAGTTGAACCGAAATATACTTTATCTAATCGTACGCTGGACATGACCTTGTTGTATAATAACGAAATAAATCAGTTTCATACAGTTTTAAATATAATAACATCAGTATAAGATATATGCTCTTTAATACATTATAAAAACTTATATTCGATTAAAGTTAATTAAAATAACGAATACAAAAGAAATTAAATATAATTGGATGAAATTTTCGCATAGATCGAAATTATAGAAAAGATAGATCTTGCCGAAAGTTTCGAAAACATAGAAACGATAGAAATTATGATAAGATAGTTGAGAGATAGTTGAAAAAAGAAGTTTTGAAAATTGACAGGAACGATAAGTTTGAAAAAAAAAAAATTCGAGACAACGTAACGTATCAAATAGAAAATAAGATAACAAGCGTTGATTGATGCGAAAAACTTTTACGCTGGAAATTATTTGAAGTTCTCTTCAAAGATGGCAACACAATGCAATTGTAATTGAGCAGTTACGTACATTTCATACGCGTGCATGAAATTCTTAAAGAAAAGTAAATTTCTAATCATACCATTATTTCTTATAAAATTTTGTATTAATAATTAATCGAATAGAATCGCGGGTTCTTCGTAATCGCAGCATTTCGAAGTTTGAAAAATCCGGAATACACAATCCCAAAGTGGCGAAGTTAAAAAATTGGAATGTTTCGAAGTTGCGAAGTGGTAAAATTCTAAAACTGTGAATTTCCAAACTATCGTTTTTGTAAACGGTAATTTTTGTCAACCTACTTATTTGTATCAAGGGAAAAGAGAAAGGGAGACGGTGTCGAATATAGCGTTATTCGACAGTTCTATATTCTTTGCTTGAAAGCGCGTATGATAAGTAGAATCCTGTAATAGGAAACCGAGCAGATTCGATTTTTATCGATCTAGCTCGAAGTCAGATATAACCTAACGTTTAACAAATCGAACGCGTATGCCGACGGATCGAATCGACTTTCGAGGTTCGAAAAGTTTCGAAAGCATTTCGAGCGAGATCAGAGCATCGAAATTTCGATTTATCTTCTGTCTCGAAGTTCGGCTCTCGACATTCGGGACAATCCTTGCACCTCTAACGTACATGTTCGATACAATAAACAATTGGCAACTGGTGAAATAGAGAAGAAAAAGACAAGGTATTTAGATACACGAAGTATTTTCAGTTATTCCGGTCCGGTTTTGCTACGAATCGTTTTCACGAGAAAAGTTGACAACAGAGGGTTGGAGTACGAAGGTATTCGGTAGGGTTGTGGATGCGCATTGGACATCGAAGCATCGGAGTCTATCGCGTATCAGCGTTCCCGGATCGCATCGCCAGTATGCGGTCGCGCATTTCATGCGGGAACACCTGTTTGCTCTTCTGCCTCTTTCGCGTCGCTTTATTCGTCCGAAATCGCGTGTACACTTCCGTATCCGTTGATCGGTCGTTGAACGTGCTGCGCCCCTGCAAAACAGACCTTTTTTCGAAAAAAGAAGGAAGAAGAAAAATTGAAGAACATCGCATTTCGATGATTCGAATGGTCATCGTAGAAAAAAGAGGGACATAACTATTCGAATCGAAACTCGTGTTCGAATCGAACAATACCGTTACACGATAGATAAATACGAAAGCAAGATTCGAGATTATCGACAGAGATCGATCGAATCGTCGGTACATCGGTGTAGTCACGCGATAAACGAAAAGAAGAAGGTATAAGGAGAGAGGTGTAAGGAGAAGTATAAGGAAAATCGAAAGAAAGAGGCAAGCAACGGGAGAGGACCGTCCTCGTGCCTTCAACCACGTGTCTCTCGTGGTCCTCATTTAAACACGCGTAAGAACAATATATTCTATCAGTGTACATCGATCGGTGCCCTTTTTCACATGAACCCAAAAATTCATTTCCTTCTTTTTTTTTCTTTTTCTTTTCTAACATCTGTCCTTACTAATTACTCTTTCGCATGCATCTATTCCAGACGTTAGCGTAATCGAACAACGAGTTTACCTGATCTCGTTCTACGATCAATTGAACGCGATCGATTTAAGCGTCGAAATATTTCAACTGGATCCTAAAGTCGCTTTATGTTTTATGATGCTATTACCAGTACGATTTAAAAGTATCGTTATGTTTTTAAGCACTTTATCATAAGCGTTTGAATTATTCCGATTCTATATGTATATGTATAGAGTATGCAGATTTCGATCCGAACTCGATGCACGAAAGCGATGCCTCACGATCGTGTACTGTTCCGATATATTGGAATCGAAAGTCGATCAGGTATCGTAGATCCGAGTCGAATGAATTAGTTGTCATTTTGGCGCAGGTAGAGATATTTCTTTGGGCAATTAACGGTTAATTTTAATGGAATCCTAAAGGCGTGCAAAATCGTTGAAAGTTTAAAGTATTTTAAATGAAAGGAATTTCGAACAATTAGAATCAACAAGGCAGAGATTAATCGTGTCTTCTGTACAGACAGGTGCATAGTCTATAAGATGTTAGAAAAGTATCGGTGGTGGTTTACGGAGACTTATGGTGTAAAAAGTAAAGAATTTAGAATAAATAAGATACAATTTAGAATAAACTAAATTGTATCTGTATAATGTCCTATTGCTCCGAACTAATACCTCGATAACGAATTTATTTTGAAATTAATTTGAAATTTCGAGAGCACGAGTGCGTACTCTCATCGAATATATGTATAATTATTATAGCGAATTTATGCGAGAACACTAAGAACGAGTCTCGACGAGATTATAGAAGAGCAAGATGTCTGTAAGCCGCGAGCATTATTTCCTCGTCACCCTGTACGTACATACATACGTAAGATTGCAGCTCGTAGATTATTTGTAGTCGTTGCCATTGAGATGGGTTTTATACGAGCCCCTTCCCCGCCCCTACCTTTATATCGAGACTGAATGGACAGAGAGAGCAGCCTCCTCTATGAGATAATACGCCTGGTTGTGCCTAAGCCATTCAGGCCCGAAGTCTTATCCATCGAATCGCGAGAGATTCGCGGCGAGGTGAGGGTGGACACCGTGTGGCCCCTGCAGTGTCATGCTCACCATACAAAACGAGTGAGTATATCGAGGCTTATATGCGATTATCCGTTAGCTACCGACCAATTCGTCGTATCGGCTAAAACCGATGCTTACGCGTTTTGCACCTGACCACTGTTGTTACGCTTTTTTAGCCGTTGTTCAGCTTTTCTTCGGCAAACCGGCGCGGTGCACAACCACAGGCGGCCACTGTCGCCATCTTGACAGAACCGTCGCGTCTATACGATTTCCACGAATCTTCTCCGCTGATTTCAACGAGTACGAGAAACTACTTTTAGTCAAAGGCCATTAGCTCCTCGTTCGTAAACGTTCGCTTTCGATGCAAAGATACTACGCGAGTAGTCTAGAACCTGTTGAATCCGTAGCGTTCAACGGATAAAAATAGATTTCTTTAGAATCGATCAAGATACCTAATCACCCCCGTGATTAGCGAGCCTCTCCACTCCATGGCTACACAGCCTCGATTCATGACTTTTCAGCGGTTACCAGGCTTATGCGGGCTAGAATTAAGTAAATATTCGTTTTGGTAGGGATTGGATTCCCCCTATCTAAGAGAAGGTTTCATCTTCTACGAGGCTGGATCGTCGTTGTTCGTTAAACGCGTGTCACTTTCGATTCGAGAGCTCTCTTCTTGGGGGAATCTTTATCAGTTTTCGATCAGATCTTCGAACGTCGTTGGACTCGTGGATCCGCTGAAATTCCATCTCGCAATTATTAAGTTTCGCTATCACCTTGTGATCAAAGCGGCGCGGCGTGTTGGGCACATTCGGTACCACGTTACGTGCAGGCCGATGCTTGAATTTCCATAGGGGTCCATCATCCGCTATTATAAGGAATTCTCTTATCGATAATATGTATTAAACGAAAGCGGAACATCTGCTATCCCTTAGCTTATCTACATAGAAATTATTTCTGTCCCGTATTTGTATCAAGTACCTGGTCGGACGGCCATTTCTAATCGGAAGATTAGAAGTAACGATACATTAGAATGGTAGGGAAATTTTTCGATTCGCGTTCGTCAGGTTCAGATCCGATTCAGCGTTCTAAGTCTGGATCGAATAGTGAAAATTATCAGGAATATTTCGTTGCAGCGAGGTTCCGTTTAGAAGCTTGCGACAAGATTCCTTCGTACAATGTGGATCCCCTTTGCATCGCGTGTAGTAACATGGCAATAAACCACTACAGTGGCGGTGCATAATCTAATGGCGCGTTGCCTCCTGCGACAAGTATGGGACAGTAGAGGGACGGCTCCTCTGTGGTTCATTAATTGCAGCTTGCGCTCTCTCTCTCTCTATATATATATCTATCTCTATTTCTCTCCCTCTTTCTCTCTCTGTAGCGCGTGCTTGCATCGCGTTGTTCCGATCGTCGTCGAAGCGACAACATTCAAAGGGGTGGATGGGCAAAAACCTTGGATACGCGTTATTTTTTATTCAAAGTCTATGTCTGTGGTACAATTACCTTAAAACGATCGGAATATATTGACGATCGGATAATATGTAACTTTATTCGCTCTGCGAGGTGTACGTAAACGGGGCGCGTAAAATAAAAATTATACGTTAAGTGGACCCCCCGTCTTTCGAATCGATCGAGTTCGAACGCCCAAGTACGTGTTCCTGGATCCCGAGAGACGGTTGACCATCTATGGCGACTAATTAATCGCGTGATATCTCCATGTTCATTCGCGCTAATACATAATGTTCCTTTTACACGCTCGCTCGAATGTTTGCGTTCTATCTTTCTGTCCTCGAGTCTTTTTCCTTTAACCACTGTGCAAAGTAGCTACCGCGGGTAAACAGCATAAACTACGATGTCTTTCGAAGCGTCTATACCTTCGATCTATTTCGAACGATATTACTTCCGTGGCGAAAACTCAACCGACGCGATAAGGGAACGTAGAAAATTTAGTAACGCGTGTTAATTAATAGGTGCATTATATCGTTTCGTTAGATTACTCGCGTCGGCTATCCGTAACTCTTATATTAATCGACTCTATGATTACTATGATCGCCTGTACGGTAGGGTGTACAGGCGATGTAAAATTCCTATTGAATTTTGTCGCGAATATTTGTTAGGTGCTGTTTATCATCGAAGGTAACGATGATAAAAAGGGAAAAAGAAAAGAAAGAAATTGTAGCGATCGCGAACGTTTGGTGGGCTGATTGTAAGGTGTAAGGGATAAGAAACGACAGCGGACTTGGTAATTTCTCTCTGAATGTACACCTTTTGACAATCAAGCGTTCTATTCAACCCAAGTGGATTCCGTTCGATCCTCCTCTTGGACGTTTGATTTTCTTTAGACTTCTTTCGCGCTGCCGCTTCGTGACGCCGCTTCGTTTATTCCATCGTTTCATTTCCTCGATGAATCGAATAGAGATCGATATAATTATAAATTGACTGGGTCGAAGACGTGTACTATTTTAGATAGTTCGTAGAATGTAGAATTGATATTAATAAAGGTTACAATATGAATGGTTGTCGGTTTAAAGAACCGGAAGGCTGACATTTCCCTCGCGCACTAAATTTCTGCTCGCTCCACGATAGACAAGTACAAGTTTCGCAGGCGCGCACCAACATCCGAACTGCTCGTACTCTATTCTCGCGGGTCAAACGTTCGATCGGTTAACTTTTGATCGGTTAAAGAATGGCCCTTGTATGTCACGCGGTTGGGCTTAAATAGTCTCCTTTTAATGTAGTTAAGTGTAACATAGCTCGCATAGTTTAATTACAATGCTTGCCCTGCTTTGCACGTACTGCATCGTTTAGGCATAAGTAGACTCGAGCGATTTAATAGTTCGCTAACCGAATGTAGTCCTTTCGTCCCTTTCTCGTACATCTATCATTACTAATTCTTAGTAATTTCAAGTACTTTCGTCTTGTAGGCTAATCGTTGTTGCATAGGCGATCATTTGGAAAGTTGGAAAATCGCTAGGACATGCGAGAAGAAGAGATTAGGCAACAGGTTCCAGTCACGGTTCTATATTCAGCCAAGTTTCGAAATGATTTCAGCATGTCACCGCGTAATGGGTCATGCGTGGCGGAAGTAAGCTCGGTGAGGAGCCTGTCGTCGGACGATGTCTCGGCGATCAAGGCGAATAGAAAGAAGTCCTGCTGGGCACGTGCCACGGATCCGGCAGACCGACGTGGACGACGTATTCAACTGTTACGGATGCTTGCGTTGCTGTTCATACCCATCCTAGCGTTGATCGTCCAAACGTCCATTAGCCTGCACGACATACTGATCTATCGGGAAGAGGTGTCCGACATTGAAACGCAGGTGACTCGAACGTTGTATATTTTCTATGGTCAACGTCCCTTTCCATACACGTAACTTCGCGCAAAGAAAGACTACTCGTGTCTTTCTTAACATCGACGGTATACATGTACGAACGCGAGATTAAACCCGGTAGCGTTTCCCGTCTTCTATTTTTTCCTAACGAATACGTAATTATGCAAACAACGCAATTAGGTCGGGCACGTATGATTCAGTAACGACCGATCGATGAACCGTCTAAAAGCAACGAACGAACGAGTCAACATCTAACCACACCTACGCGGTCGTCCGTTTGACCATAGCTAGAATGCGCGTGCTATGAAATTCGCTTCTTTCAAGAGACATATTGAAAATGTCTAATCATCGGCTACTAATCGAATCTTATTCCATTTGATTCCGGTATGGAAATTTTAAACATCGTTGCTCGCCGATCCCCTTTCGCTTACGTAACCATCGGTCCTTTGTTGACGAAACGTTAAATTTCATCGAGTTCTATCGGAGGGTTCGATCCCCCCCAGCCTTAGAATATCATTTTCTTCCGAATAAGTTTATCGCGTCGCCGTAACGAACCAGCCGAAATTCTTCGACGAGACAATTTTAAAAACTTCTTCTACATCATTTTTTTTATCGACGCTATAAAATCATTACCTCGTAGTTTTTGCCGAATTGTGCCACTGTGTCATAGAAACGATTGTACCGCTCTTAGCATCCTTTGAAATCCAATCTATTCTCGAGAAGCGATCTCGAGAAACCAAGCACCATTGTGAACAACTGGACACACCATGAAACAATACTGAAGCGCTTTTATCGATGACCAACGTATTGTGTTACTGTAGAATCGTTGGTTATCGATAGTTATTTCTATTACAGTAGAGAACACCGTGTTTTTTCACCGACAATGAATCTGATCGAAATTCGTCGAAACAGATCGGTAGCCTCGAGTGCACCAATCTCGAATTACTAGTTTGACGAACAGAATGTTCTCCACGTTACTTGTCCTCGTCCTCCGTCGTCTTCCATCGTCTTCGGTGTTTGCCATTGCGGCAGTATCCGTTCGAATTACTGCTCTTTGCCGCGCCCATTCTAATTCAAATGGAAAACCGAACAAACGAATAAATTCTATGATTCTTCTGTCCGAGCCAGGAGCAGCTCGGAGAATAATTATTGTTACATGGACTCGTGGCTAAACAGAAATGTACTAGTACACTAGCTCGTAAAAGCTTTAATAAGTATGTAAAATAAAAGGAAATTCCGCGCGGGGCGGAAGGTATCCCCGTTGGTAAATTTCATAGCTGCGTAAATTTTTAAGAGAATTTTCAACTGTTCACAGGTGACGATCGCAACGGATTTGGGCAAGGTCGTCACACGGATGCAATTGGAAAGATCCGAGGTTGCGTTCTTCATTTACACAAACGGCAGCACTCTGAGGTACTTTCATGTATGTTTTTAGGAAAAAAGGAAGGAAAATTATAGCGCAAACACGATTTCGCTGTTCAATGGAAGCGTTTCGATCTCTCGATATACGTGACTCAGAGACAAAGCCTTTCGAACGGGAAGGAATGAAAACAGATGGGCAACAGGGTGTTCTCTAATCGAACCATCGCATCGACGCGATACGCTTTTTTCTTAGCATTTCGAGAAAACAACGTTAGAGAATGCGTGAACAGTTACTTCGAAATACGTAGTATTCGCTTTTATTACTTTTCTAACATCGATTCGAGAAGCTTACCGTTGTTAGGAACTAGAAGAGAATCGAGGAGAAGCAAAAGGTTCGTTGTTTGCTTCGCGAATAAGCACGACGCGAGCCAGCTTCGACCTCCAATCACTGACACTCGTAAATTCAAGGTTCGAAGACAGTGATTAAAGGCGTATGATCAGCGAAACGTGACATATTGACCTGACCCTTCCGCTTCGGTTCTTCCATTAAAGCCAAGGGAAACGCTCTATGAAATATTAACAAAAACTTTTAAATATAATCCCAGTGAACCAGTTCGAAAACGTCAACTAGTTTGTTAACTAGTCGACGCGATCGACTAGAGGGAAAACGTAATAAATAAATCCATCCCTCTCTTCCCATTGATTTATCGACGCAACGCTAATAAGCTACGGTCTTTTGCATCTTTTCAAGGTCGAACTTGACGCAGAGGTTCGCCATAACCGATCAAGCTCTTCATAATATGACTACGTGGCCCCTGGTCTCGGTACCGAGGGACGAGAGCAAGACGCAAACCTATGACGTGGTCAGCAAAGAGGCCTTCCAAGCACGCCTCGAGGATTTCAGGTAACGAATCGATCAGCAAATACCCTCTCCCGTTACTCTCGATACTCGTCCACGTGTTTATAATGACGTCAGAAGGTTCCTTTATGTATCTGACGTTTTCTTCCTCTTTTTTTTTAACTTTAATTACCCTCCTATAACTTTCTTCGCACGCATCGATCGCGAAACGATAAAATGACTAACCGATACTCTACACGGACAAAAGAGGACAAAATTACGTCCCGTGTGTAAACTGTAATCGTTAACTGGATTCGATGAAAAACTTTCAAGTTCGATTCTGTTCTCGATACGTACGAAACACTCTTGGCTTTCGAGTTGTTGGCATGTAACGGAAAAGAATCTTCGCGATACTTCTGCACCGATATGTGGTACACTTTTATGGATTTATCGGTGTACGTGCTCTACGAGAAAGTCGAGCAAATGAAAAACGTGACTTCCACAAAAATATTCCCGATCGAAATAACATTAATATTGTTCCGTCTATCTCGAAGTTCGGAGCTCGGAAAGATTTTCGTGGACGCGGTGCGACAAAATATCTATCGGTCGATGTGTAATAAGAACGCTGCACTAATAATAAGACAATCGCGTTTTAACAAACGTTACTTTTAATAAAATTGTTTTTCTTCTAATTAATGCATCGGCGCTTCGAATAGAAGTATAGCCGAGTTTTCTAGCTACCGGATTTAATAGAAGAACCAAAGACCAAAGAAGATTTGGTGAAAGGGCAAAGTTTCGATCGGTGAAAAACGAAATAAGAGTAATCGGTTCGAGAATGAATGGAGATTCAACAAGTGTCGGAACGAATGCCCGACCCTCGTAACTTTCCATAGAATCGAGTGTTGCTTCCGCTTTTTGATTCTCTTTACGCGCTGTAGAGTCTACACTCCGAAAAGTCGACTATCGATAGTAGTTGTTATGATATTCGAAAATAGTAAATAGCGTTATACTCGTTATGTAACGATCCGAAGAATCGTGAACTTTATCGCTTTAATAGCGCAAATCTTTTCGAGATACGAGTAACCTAACCGAAGATCACGGTGGTTATAAAACGAAATCTGGTCCGCAAACGACACCAATTAAAGGGGTTATATTTCTCGTCGAAATTAATGCGGTGGAAGATTTCCAGTCCACGTAGGCCTTCGCTTGCGTTATCGACACTCGAATAACCGTTTTCAAGTTTAGTCGAGTGGAAAACTAACTGATTTTCAAGTTGTTACGACAATTATCGGCTGGACGCATCTTTGCTTCCCCCTGCTGCTTCTCTTTTATGCCTCTCTTCCTCGCCTCTTTAACCATTTTAAGATATACCGTTAGCTACACACTAAGATCGCGAAAGATAATTTTCGAGCGAAGAAAGCATCGAAATACGAAAAGGGGAAACGTTATTATCCAGAAAATTCTCCATCGATCGAACTCGTTGCTTTCGCGCGAGGTATTATACGAGCATACGTCGGATAATGGGAGGCATTTCTGTCAGCAGGAGCACCAGCACCGGTAACAAGGCGCTAACAATCCTCTTCGTCTTCCAGCCAATGTATTACCACGGTTGACAAAGATGACACGGATAGAACGAACGACAAAATAACGCCTCTTCTATTAATCTTTGATCGCGATCGATCGAAATTTATTAGCCTACCTATTTAACCGATTAGTCTGCTCGACGAAAAAAAGCTACGCACCTATACGCTTCAATTTTTCTTAGTAATCTTTCGTTCTCTGATGATTTAGTGCTTTCGAATGAAATCATTCTACTCGATCGTAGTAGAATTTGTTCGAAGTGGTCGCGGACGAGCGAATTACGAGTCCTTCGACGAGAAATCGTAGCCTATTTTACCTCTGTCGTTGTTCGGTCTTCCCTGTCGAACTACCTTTACGAGCAATGGATGAGGTTGTCACACATGAGCGCGTGGTCGCCCATTTGGAGCAGTAGACAATATTTTTAGACCCTTCTGCCCATCTCTCCCTCCCCACCTCCCGCACCATACCGTCTAGTTTTTCTTTGTCATTCTCTACAACTACCGTGCTGCTCCTGACTAAAAGTTCATTCGATTCGACCTGATTCTATAATTTCTCGAATCGAAATTCCATTCGATATAACGATCAATAGTCTTCTTCTGGGCTTCTAGAAGTAAGGGCTTCTTCCCTGCTAATCAAACGCGGAAGCGATAAGGTTGTTCGTTTTTCAGGCAGAAGATAAGTTCGGAAGAGAGCAGTATTACCGAAGTGATGACATGGTATACGAGCGTGAACGCGGCTATGCTGGACCATCTGACTAATCAGATCAAAGAAACGGATAACAGCGGAGTTTGGAGATATCTGATTGCTTTTAAAAATTTACTGAGAAGCATCGAGAGTTTGGGTATCGCTTCCGTCTACGGAATCAATTACTTTGGACGTGGAATTCTTGGCGGGGAAAATTATGTCAGCTACGTACGCCACGAAGCTCTTGGACGTGATCTTCTCAGTGGATCTCTCACATACGTGCCTTCTCTAAAACATTTTTATGCCGAACTCACTCGTACCATGCCAGACTATGGTAGAATTAAATCTAGGTACGTAAGTACACTATCGATCGACAGGCAGGAGAAAGAATACGTTCGGATTTAGCTTACTAAATGTATTTTGCAGACGAGACGAAATTCTTCGGAATCAAAAAAGGGAGCCGAGCGTGGACGATGCGATCGCTTATTTCGATTCGATGGCAACTTACGTGGACGAGCTACGTAAACTTCAGCGAGAATTACGTCACATGATTAGGTAGATTTTCTTCTACGTTGATTCTTCCTTTCATTTTATTATACGTATGCATGTATATATGTATGTACGATATTATTATATTGTGTTTCTCTGCAGGGATTACGTGAACTCGGCGCTGCAAGATGCGAGTAACAAACAGGTCGCTGGAATAGCCATTCTCGTCTTAGTGTTGATCATATCTCCTATCATAATATTATTAATACAGAGCGCGGTTGCAACTATACAAGTAAATATATAAACTGATTGTTAGTTACGTTATATTCGAAATATATAAGGTTTCGCTTAAAAATATAACGGATATCGTTGGAAAATCCTAGATGTATGCAGCTAATTTGACACAAAAAGCGAGAGAACTTAAACAAGAGAAAGGAAAGAGCGACACGTTGCTTTTCCAAATGTTACCACCCAGCGTTGCTCAACAATTGAAACAAACTCAACAGGTATTTTTAACTCGGAACTCTCACTCGAAGTTTGTGTCTACTTACTCGAAGTTTGTGTGATTAAAGTATTTTCTACTGGTGCTAAAGGTGCCGGCAGAATATTACGAGGCTGTAACCGTGTACTTCAGCGATATCGTTGGATTCACCGAGATAGCTGCCGAAAACACTCCCCTAGAAGTAAGTGCCGTTACTTCTGTAAGTGGCATTAGTTACAAACGATCTTGCTCTTTCAGGTTGTCACGTTTCTAAATTCGATTTACAAACTGTTCGACGCTCGCATCGAATGTTACGACGTATACAAAGTCGAAACGATCGGTGACTCGTACATGGTTGCTTCCGGTTTACCAGTTAGAAACGGTAAGAAAAATCTCCTCGTACGTTATATCATGTATTAGTTATCTCGTCGTTGTCTAAAACGTGTCACATTTTTAAAGGTGACAAACACGTGTCCGAAATAGCGACGATGGCACTCGATCTTCTAGCAGCATCGTCGGTGTTTCAAGTGCCGAAACGACCGGGCGAACGTCTTCAGATACGAAGCGGAGCCCACACGGGACCCGTGGTCGCTGGGATCGTTGGAAGCAAAATGCCTCGTTATTGTTTGTTCGGTGACACGGTGAACACGGCCAGCCGAATGGAATCGACCGGTGAAGGTACATCTTCGTCTATGTTTCTTACATTATCTAACAAACGTTAATCGTCGATTTGTTCGCGCGAAGCTCTGCGAATACACATCAGTCTGGAAATGAAAAAGGCTCTGGACGCCGTCGGTGGTTTTAAGATCGCGCATAGAGGTTTGGTGGACGTGAAGGTAACGGCTTTCTATCATTAATCGATCCGACCAGCTATCTAACGAAATCGTTTATTTAGGGCAAAGGATTGATGGACACCTATTGGTTGGAGTGCAAAGACGGTGGAATCGCTCGAGCCGCGGAACTGGACTTACCGTCGTTCTTCGAAGATGTACGACCGGTCTTCATACGTCGTTTACGAGAGGAGGGTACCATCTGATGCGAACCGTACTCCCGAAGGGACCTCTGGTACCTGAACCGACCTCCTACTCCGTATATTCGTTTGTCGCAACCCAACCTCATCGACCACTTGAAGAAACCTACTCAAGGTCGTAAGAATCGACTGTCCCATCCGAATCTTCACATCACACCGGTGAAAGCGCCGCCTCAGTCGCAGTCCAGTATCGAATCTCAAGACTCGGTGACGTACGAGGGTACGCATTCGACGACGCCTTGTCCACCGAGCTATTCCCCCGCTAGTCAACGAAGTCGTTACTCCCAACCGAATCTACCGACTCTTCTGATATCGTACGACCGAAGATCCGGCGGCTCTCCCGATCGGCGTATAAGGATGTCCCAACCCACCCTGAACTCCAGTTTCAGCGGCATCAATTTTGCCGGAATGAACCGTGGCTCGCGGTTGTCGTACACCAGTCTTAGAGCAGCCTCCGGAGATAACAGCATCAACGAGGAAGAGAGACTGTCGGCTCCTAGCGTGCAAGGATTCGGTGGTAGCTCAAGAGGGAGCCTGACGATGGATCATAGCTCCGCGAGACTGTCACAACCGGACGTGCGACGATTCGCTCTACGCCACGATGTGCCGACCAAGCGAGAACGTCTCTCCCAGCCAACTCTGGTCAGTGGGGACTACCACCCTGGCCGTGGTCAACAAAGATTGTCCCAACCTTGTCTGAGCACGGGCAAAGAGTTCATTTTACCCACGATGGTCTTTCACTCGCCCTCTCCACCGACTGTCAAGCATAAAAGATTTTCTCCCGCTATACCGGTAAGCAAGAGGGAACGTCTCTCTCAGTTGGACATCGGGTCCAAGTACAGGAATCTTAAAGAATCTACCGCGACGAAATTCAATCGAGACAGATTCTCGATACCCGAGCTGGAAACGCAAAACGATTTGAAACTGATAGCTGGCACTCCGAAGCAGAGATTCAGCTTAGACAGCCAGTTGAAGAACCAGGATATAACTCGATCCAGGTTGCTACCGATCGCGAGTTCCCCCATTAGCGAACATCAACAGCCAAAAATCGACGAGCAAACGACTATTCCGATAACGAAAAACAGGAGTCCGACCAGGGAAGGACTCGGGAGCGTCCTAGTAGCGAGTGCTACTCCCATATTACCATCGAGCGAAAGACAATTTTTATCTATCGAGCTGAACAGAAAGACCTCGATCGCTTCGACGACGATAACGACGACGACAACGACGACGTCGACGACGACGACGACGACGATGACGACGAAGACAACGACGAGGAACGTGTCGCAACAAAAGAATCAAACGACGGGTAAACTTGAAAGATCGGTTTCGCCAGTTCCTACCAGAGAAAGGATGTCGGTGCCTGAGATAAGGAATTCGAGTCTGCGTCGATTACTGGATCCACCGACGAGACAAAGGCACAGTATCACCGGTAATCTCAGACAGAGTCTCATCTCTCCGATCAAACCTCTCGATTTTGGCAGAAAGTCACCTAAACATTTGTTCGAAGAAGCTCTCGAACGATTCAGAAGGGACGAAAAAGAGGAGAATCGTAAGAACGAGATATCCAATTCGCGAACCATCGTCGATATCGTCAACGACGAACCTAAACACATTCAGAAACACTATTCGTACACGTACGAGAGCACGGATGATAATTCCTCGATTCTTGGTAAAGTGAGCGTGTCCGTGATACCGAAGAAGAAATATCTAGAGAGTAACTTTGACGAGAACGAACAGGTGATTACGACGGTCATCGAAACAGACGTGCCCATGATAATGGCAAGTCCAAAGTACATGAAAAAGTCCTCGTACTCGAGCGAGGCGCCGAAATGGATTAGGAAATACTTGGAAAACGAAAGCCCGAAAGTTGCCAGACGAGCTGCCGGAAACAAAGAGAAAGCTAATCGTAAGAATAGCCGTAGGAAAAGCTCGTTGGAATCGGTGGATGGCGAAAAGGTCACGAAAAAGGTTCGCTCGAAGTCGGTGAGCAGCGGCGAAAGAAGTCCAAAACCGAGAAACACCGTTCTACACTCTGAATTGAAAAACATGAAAAACACCTACGTGAGAATTGTTCCTTCGAACAAGATTCAAGAGAATAGATACGAGGTGAAAATCGAAAACAGTTGGCCAGATGGAGACGGTATTCAAAGACTCTTCGGAGACGAATGCGAAGATACGGACTCCGATGATTCCACGTCCATTTAAATGAACGTAACAAGTGTCGCGTTAATCGAGTGTCTCCTTCTAATCTTTCTAGATTTTCGTGATTTTTTATCGCGTCATGTCGAAACAGCCAATTGAAATTTTAACATCAATAGCCAACAATCGTATGTACATACACGCATAAATATCCCTTTGGATATTCTTTAGGCCTTGGGCCATTGATCTCTGTTCTAACTGGAGCGTGATTCGTGGCATCGGAACCGACCCGAGAAACGAGGGAAATAGACGATTATCTATCTCGGCCTTATAACATGCTATTTGGAAATCGTAGTTGGTAATTATTACGGAACAGTACAGCTAGATAAGAAGGAGAAGAATTTGCAAGCGCTTGTATGCACGGCACTTCGCGCTGTTGTGTCGGTTAAAGAAGATCTCGATACCTAACGACCTAAAGCCACACCTCTCCGAATTCTTTGCAGACCCTCTATTAGATGAACCCAGAACACGCTCGCGCTGTGGTGCCCTCTAACTCTTCCTAGATCCTAAGTGTACGTGCCGATACCCGTAAGCTCTTCGATGGACAGTTCGTCTGTTCATCACTGGTCTAAAAGCTACAAACTGAAATAGGATATAAAGTTATGTTCGTGTTATTGCTGTGCTGTATTGATGCGCCGTCCGAGAGTTATAACCCTGACTCGATCTGAAGAAGTTAAATTAAATAGTAACGGCAGAAAAAATCCTTTATAATCTGTCACTTTTTTTACCATTGACAATTACGAAGACATCATAATAAATGGGACACACTGTACGTCTACGTATATGTATTGTCTAAAATGTAAATTAACTACGATAACGTTTATAAATTGAATTGGTGCAGCGAAAAATTACACATTCTGTACTTAAGCCGATCAAATGTTACGACTTTTACGAAAAACTAATACTTTCTCCATAGTTATCGATCAACGAATACCACTGTAAGTACCATGCTTGCGTTCGCGTACCAGCATACATGGTAATAAACCAATATTCGTTTGTTCCGCGCATATCGGCTCTGATTGCTTCTAATATGTCCCCTGTAAGCGATGGTAACTTACGACGCCACGATATCTATACCGAGCGATCTTTTCATCTTCTACGCTTCCCAATTTATTCGTCATTCCTGTTGTTCATTCTATTATTGACCGTTGTGTTATGTGATCGACAAGTTAACCGGTAACTATAATTCCAATATACATACGTATACTACCTTGCTTCGTAAGAGTTGTTTCGCACAGTTCAATCAGAATATGTACATGTAGTAGGAAATAGTAGCGAAGAACGTTTGTGCATTGCTCTTGTTTATGAATAAGACTCGAAAGTAAGAGCAACGCATAAACGGATCGAAAACGAAAGCAAAATACGCGGAATACAGATTAGTCCACTCTCTAATGGAAATAAATTAATTAGCCTAAGAGCACGGTTCGACAATGAACATGCCAATTTCGAAGTATTTGATTGTTCGCTTGTATATATAACATCGTGGATTGTACTCGATACAGGAACAGAAAAATAAGAAAGAAAGCGTGTTTATAGTTGTATAATGACTGTTGGATCTCAAAATACATGCATATATTATTTTCATTTAAATTTAATAGGAGCATTGTTTCTATTCGATTAAAAATAGAATACCATGTAAATACTAAGAATTACGTTTTATTATGTTTATCGTAAAGTGTATATACGTATAATTAAGAAATTTTTATTTCGTTAAAATATAAGAAATACAAGTTCTACTAATAAAATGTACATTTTCTTGCATCGATATAAAATAAAATCCCGCTGTGTATTATAGCTCTGCGAGGCTATGCTGCGTCTATCTTCGGATACACGGTACACTTCCTTTAGAATCTTAGATAAAACCGAATGTACTTAGAAGAGATTTTTAAGGGATCAAGTGTATGATGAACATAAATTTACAAATTTATGATTTTTCAAATTTCAACATTTGCCAATTGGAAAATAACGAATGGTAGAACCTCGTTTCTTGGTGAAAATTATTTTCATCATTGTACGGGACAAATATTGAAAAATTCATGTTTTCTTTCGATGCTAGTTATCGACTAGAATAGTAGAATTATATTTCCACAGATATAGTTACCGTTTATTATAAACAGAAAAATATTGGCTATTTATGTATGTCGTTTAATAAACATAGCGAAATATGTTATATATTAGAATTGCGATCAAGGCAAAACATTCACTATTCCTTATTTATTCGTTACTTATTCCTTACGATTTACAATTAATTTTTAACTAAAAAATCAACGAATAAAATTGATAAATTTTAATTTATTTTATTACATAAATTTCTTTACCGTCACAAATGCATATATGTATTATATAAAAATTCTTCTATGTATGTTAAGTTCCGTTTCACAATTTTCTTTGACGTTTAAAAATATGTGCAAGAAATTTCATCGTAATTAAATAATAAATATGCATTATCGATATTAAAGGAACATTACCTTAACGATAATCAACCTAAATTCTAATAGTTTTTTATTATTGCCGAAAATTATAAGGATATTTAATTCTAGTTTCATACAAACCATACTTTACCATTTTAATTTGTATATACATATTGACAACATACATATAGTAAGCTTGTGAAAGTATAACTCGATCGCAATTTCAAATGTAGAATAACATCAGGTAACAACTTTGTTGCGTAGACGATGTTCTTTCAAACACGGCATGGAACAAAAACGATTGCAGTTGTATTCGAAAGGTACTTGACCAACCATATTCACGGCACATTGAAAACATCGTGAAACCACGTCGCATCCTTGCTTCACGATACGTTGTTCGGCTGCTAATGCTCTCTACGGTAAAAATTTTCAAAGCCTTAACAGTATTGTTTACAGTGACTTAATAACTGTAATTACCTTTTCTCTGTCGCTAAGATTAAGGAATCTCTGTTTAGCGTCTTCCTCTTGCTTTTTCAGTTCAAATTCTTTCTTTTTCAGTTTTTCTTTTTCTCGTTTCTGTTTTCGGTATTGTCTTTTTCGCTCGGCTTCCTCTTGCTCTATTTCATCGGTAAGTGGTCCAGGTATCTGAGACTTAATAATGAACAAACGCATTCTTTTATAAGTATCGATCGACGCGCGTTTCATTAACGAAACAACAACCTCGCATCAGAAATACATACTTTACTGTAATTGAACTTGTCAGGATTGCTACTCATAAATCTTCTAAACACGTTTCTAGTTTCCTTATCGCTCGCCGCTGCGTATGGAGTTTGCAGTTTCTTATTTTTGTTACAGGGATCAGATCCGATTTCCAGTAGCCGCCTAAAATTAAATCCTTTAGTAAAACTATATCATCGTAGGAAAAAAGAAAACCATTTTATTAATAACGTCAACATACCACACTAATTTCAAATGCCCCCCAAGAGCTGCCAAATGTAACATTGTATTACCATCCTCGTTAGGATCATTTACCAATTTTATTACATCATTTTTGTGTATAATCGAATTAGTTTCAACAGTTGTATCTTCTTTGTTTTGTTCCTCCAATTCTGCACTTTTCTCTGCTTCAATTAATAGGTCATCAATAATAGATAACAATAAATCGTTATCTCCTAATTTACATGCTGACCATAACTTCATTTTGGCGTTAGTTAGCACTTCATTCGTTGTGTTATCTAAAAGTGATTGTATGTTTTAATACATCATACAACATTGCGCCTATTTCTCTAACTCACCATCTTTTTTCGTTTTTTTTCTCTGACGGCGAGATTTTTTATTTTTCATATACCTTGGTACTGTATCTTGAAAAGCTAGTAGGTGTTCGTTAAATTCTATTTCTAATTCTTGCTCGATTAGCGACACGTCAACCGGAACGCTAACAGTACCTATTTGACTGTCTAGCTCCGATTCTGAAGATGACTGTGCCAACTTTGCCACGATATCTAAGACATAAGATTAAAATTTCATGATTTACCGTATCAGTAAATTATGTAAAATACTTCAAAGTTCATACCTGGTAAAGGACGACACGGGCTCTTTCTTGGTTTTGCTCGATCTATATGAGATCGAGAATTTCTATGCTGTCTTTCGGGAGATGGTTGAGTAGGTATTTTACTTTTATCGTTATCTTGGGAATTATTGGCAGTAATAATAGAATCACATTCTGCATTCTCTGTCTTTTCTGAAGTTTCGCCGGATACATCGGCTTTTGAAATTTTCTTTCTTAGAGGCTGACGCGGTGAAATAGGAAAGGAATCTATGAAATCTGCCGCAGAACCTATAATATACGTTTATCGAATAAATATAGATATACCAAAGTATTATGACACAACAGTGGTTGCATACCATAAATTTCCATAGTGCTTAATATATCGTACACCCTTTTCACTTCGTTAAATGTTGCTCTACGAGTAGGAAATGGCAGTGGTCTTAATCTTGAATCGCTTTTATCTAAAGGTGGATTTTTTCCTCCGAATAATACAGTACGATTATATGGTCCAACTGCTCTATATAGAATCAGAGAGGAATTATTGATATGGGATGACCACGATTCGAGTATATCCTGTACATGCTGAAAAAAATATGAAAGTTTTAATAAACGTTTATGACTTTAATGTTTTATCTTCGCATCGATAAATGAAATACCTGAAGAAGAGATGCTTCGTTATAACGGCGTAAACTAGCACCAGCACTTTTAGCGTGATTAGTCGTTGTACGTGAACTTTGGGCAAATCCTTGTTTAGCTCTTACGGTATAAGAATGAAACGTCTTGTGCACGATAGGTTCTCCATCTAAGATAATAAAATATTAACTGACAAAATATATTAACGCTTACATACACGACATTAAATTTGTTTTGTTCTAAATCAAAATTTATACCTTGAAATACAGCAGCAGCAAAATGTCCTCCACCGATCATGATAACGGTCCATGTTGTTTTCCTCCCACTGTCTAATGCTTGAGCAATCATCTCATTGTCTACCTCTGGAATTTCCTAAAATGTAATTGCATCTCTCCTGATCTGGCACGTATAGACAACGCCAAGTGATTCTAACAAAGTAGATCAAATTACAAGATAAGATCATAGACAAGAATGTCTAAGCTTATAAAAAATTCTTTTGAAAGCTATTTGTTTATAAACAAATGAACCGACCTTTTTATTATGAAGTAAACACCTGTATATACTGAATATATTTCCATCGTCATTTTCGAAAAAAACTTTCGAGTGGCGGGTAGCAGTGACCAATAAAGTTTCAATTTTCTTCTCTTTCACAGTTTCATCAGAATGTTCCGTATCAGAACTGTCGGAGATTGATTCTGCGCTTCGTCCTTTCTTCTCTGTTTTCTTGTTTTTCGTAACACTGTTTTTGCTCTCAAAATGTCCATTAGGAGAATTACCTGCTTCCGAAACGTATGTCTCATCCTCGTTTTCAGAGTCAACATCGCTTCCGGATAAACTCGAAACATCACCTACCATATGAATAATGCTATATTTTTCACGTTAAAATCATTTTATTCGCATTCAAATTAATAATTATTTTATTGATACCTTCGTCGGCTAATAGACTAAATTTATCTTCCCCAATAGGTTTTAATCCGTTCAAACGCTGCTTTAAATTATATCGATGCCAATCTAATTTATAATGAAGTCTTTGTTGTGCTTTATCTTCGAATATTGTATTACAAAATGAACAACTTAAGGAATCCGATACAACTAAGTCATCTAATTGATGTAATACTTTTTCAGTTTCTGAAACTAAAATAATATCTCGTTAACAATGTTGCTTTGTAATTCTACAAACATACATATATACATTCTAAATATTTAATTTTCGAATATTAGTATTTAATAATAGGCAAATAAAACGGTTACAAGTGTTTTTGTAAAGAAAAATGTACTTGATTAATATACATATGTTTTATAGAGTATAGAATGTTTTAAATATCATTACCAGATGACGATCGAGATTGCATGCATTGTGCAACTTTAATTCCTCTTGTAATTCTGTTAAAGTCTTCCTGATTGTATATTTTAAACATTTGATGATCCATGTTGTATCGTAACCTTTCAGTATTTAGTAAAGATATCTTTATAAACACGATGGAAAAAGGGAATTCAATTACTCCTGAACAAAAATACGGAAATAGTTAACAGTCTGCACGAACGAAAAAGTTGACAAGGCCACTATCGCTCGTTTAAGAATGATGTGGAATGATGTTGCAAACGACAACGTTCTACTAACCTTTTCACATAAGGGTATAATACATTCGGATAATTAGGCAGCTCAGGGACGGAGTAGTTTGGTTCCAAAATAAGCTATATAAAATTTATTGCTACATCGAGTAGCATTAATTCGGAACTAAAATGGAAAATGTATTTTTTCTGTTAGAGCAGAAAAATAAATTAAGTGTATAATATAATCATATATTTACAGTTCACATAGGCAAATACATGTCACTAGTAAAAATCCGTTTAGTATCTTATTTTAATTCAGCCCTGATAAAGGCTTACATCATTCTTTGTGCGTATATACATACTATTCTTTTACAAATGTTGGATCAATATTGATATAGAACAGATATAAAATATGAAATTACGATATATTACGGGTTAATTTAAATAGACATTTACAAACATATTTTTCAATTTATTAATAGCATAATTGTTTTTAAGTACAAATTATATTTAAAAAGTAAATAACAATAACAAATATATCGAATTTTTTAGTTTAGTAGTACAAGCATTCATTTTTCGAAGATCAATATTAAATTTCCACTTACGTGTCTAACTATAAAATATTTTGTACGCTACAAAAACATAATATATACATATACATTAACAGAAGATATTACGCATCCTACTTTATACATAATTACTTACAGCTTAATTTTATTTATTCATAATTAAGAACTTATAGACATATAATCAGTCTTACACAGCATAGAAATTGGATGGTATACAAAAATTTATCAATCAAGATACATGAATTTATATATTAAATATTAAATATTTATGTAGTACATATATCTCTTTATACAGTACATAGATCTTTAGACATTTTTAAAATGACAACACAAATTATACACTTTTATAATGTTGCAATACTGTATAGAAGCAAAACATTATTCTAAACTGTATATAGAATATATTTTCTCACTTTAACGTATGTATGTAAGAAAATACTGCTCTGTAACAAACATCTAATACAGAAAATATATATCTTATGAAATTACTTGTTTCATTATGAAAGATATTTCTTGGTTTGTATGGCATAAATTATATAAATATAAGAGGCTAATTATTAAATTAAATACTCTAATAATCAGAAATAATTAATATTTCGAATAAGTATCACTAATTAATATAAATAACAAATAAATAGAATTACTGTAGGGCACTGTATAATGTACATGCTACCACATTGTCATACTTTAGATTTAAGGATATTAGAGACACATGTAGACAAAGATTAGTATCCCATTTAATATTCCGATCAAATAATTCACTTGTACTCCTGATGACTTTGAAAATCTGGAAAAGGAGATAAAAATACATTAAAAGAATATTTACTAAGGTTTTAGTAAATGTTAAAAACACAAGTTTATCAAATGTGATGAAAACTTTCAGTTACGAACTTACCTTCGATTAGAAGGACTAAGAGGGGAAGGTGGATTAATTCCAGGAATACTGCTATCTTTATAAATTATATACCAACTAAAACCCATCATTATGAGACCACATATTGTTGCTTTTATCAGCCATCCATATGTTTTAACAAATGATGTCATTACACTTAGAACATCATCGTATTGACTAGTATTAACAAACTTTTCATTCACAGTAGTTAATTGTTTCACGCTAAATTGTGACACATTAGGTATACGTGATAAATCAAATACATTGGAGATATTTGGAAACACAGATGTTGATGATATATATTTAAAATTATTTTGCAGCTGTACAATATTCCCTAAAGAAAGTATATAAATGTATAATAATATAAAAGTAATTTTATTAATTAAATATACTATAATTTACCAATTTTTTTTAAATACTTATTAAATACATCATATAATAAATTTATTAAATATTATAAAACAATGTTATAAAATAAATTTTTGTAAAGCGTTTAATAAAGCAAAAGCTAAATACATATTTTCATAAATCTAGTTATGGTCAGTGCAACATTATACAAATTTAGTAGCTTAATTTATAAGTTTCACTTAAAGTTTGAAGCTTGTCAATACGAAGATCTTGAAAAAAACTGATCAAACATGTTCTATATTTCATATTCCATCAACTTTATAACAAAATAAATATACAAACAAATACATAACAAGCATGCAATACTTATTGACAAACACTAATTTTATGGAACACATTTTTAAAGTAAAAAATCTAGGTAGGTATAATTATTACGTACCGTAATTTATATATAACTTTCCCAAAACAATGGACAGTGACATTATGAAGAGTAAACAACTGAAAGTCCCTTCGTTTATTTGCAATTTCTTCCATAACCTTACTGGAGCAATATAATCTTTATTAGTCATTAATTCTTTGGCTCCATTAGAATATAAATGTAATTTTTTCTCGGTCATCTTCAGTTTTAATCAAAATCAAAGACATATATTTTTGCTAGACACTCAAAAGATCAAAAATGACAAATTATACAAATCACCAAAAATAACAGTGAATAATAACGCTCGTATATGTACTGTGATCGGACGTCACATTTGACTTATAAATATAGCTATATAAATATATATAGATGTGTGTGTGTGATCCTCAATTCCACGAGAGATGTAACTAACTATATAAATGACGTCTTGTGCAAGGAACATATCTAACCACAAGCCTACTCTTTGGCCACAAGTATGAAAACTCCCTATAGCAGTGTTGGGCAGTCCCAGTGCATGCGCAGTAAGCTATCCGTAGAAGTCCTCAGTAGCGTATACACTTTGATGAAATATAAGGTATCATTAGGCCCTAGTAAGGAAAAAAAAATAAATCTGAAGAAAATTGCAGGAAAGAGAATAAAAGGGTTAAATAATACAACAGATTATATATAATAAAAGTAATATTAAATTTATTTATGATTATTATTATTTTTTACGTTTGCAGCCGATTTATTATATGAATACCAATATTTGTTGCAAGAGCAAAGGAAAAAGATACCGCTCGATTTTTATCAGATCTATGCATGTTAACAAAATAAAATCCATTTATTTCTTTGTTATTGTTTCTCTGATATTATAATTTTCACACGTATAAAATATAGTTATTCAAAGAGGTCCTTTCAAGTCGTTTTTCTTAAATAATAAATTCATTTAGTGTTTTAAAAGTTATTGTGCTTTTGTGTTATTTCAAATATAATAATCTCCTATATTCCATCATATTATTCCCATTATATTATATTATATAATTCACGATATATACATATATGTATATTAATAAATAATCATTTTGCAACATATCTGCATGATTAAGTTAAAAAAAATTAATAAATTTAAAGAATTCCAGCAATAAATCTGTTAATAAACAGTCGAAAAATATGAAATTATAAAAAAATTAACATTAAAATAATTATACAACATCCAATGAGAGTGGTTGCACGCTATTGGTGGATTACGTGATCTCTGATTGGTTACTGTACATTACCAATCACCCTTACACTTGAAGAGGTCGAATTGGATCTATTGGTAGATCGGTAGATCATTATGATGTCTAATTGGCTGTTGTCAAGTACCAATAACATTCACAGTAGCGGGAGGTCAAATGCTCTCAGTCGTATTTTGGAAATCGAGGAGGTCGGATCGCACCTGTCAACACTTACCGGTACGAGTCAAGGGTTTACTTTACCGATATTGTGCTTGTTCCTGTATTACCTACTGTGCTTTAATAAGTGTTTAGTGTGTTTTAATAAATATTTTTTAATAAATATGCGGGTGTATTAATAAATTTTATGGTGTAATTCAACAAGTGTCAGTGACTTTACCGGTGTGTTTCCTGCATGCATATACGGATATATAAGTGTACCTAGTATACTAATACAAGTGTTTAGTGTGCTTTAATAAATATTTTTTATTAATTATGGGGGTGTATTAACAAATTTTATGGTGTGGTTCTACAAGTGTCAGTGACTTTACTAGTGTGTTTTCTTAAATGATTGTGCACGTGTATACGGATTTATTAGTGTGTTTTATGGTGCGGTTATTTAAACGTTTTATTAATTTTTTAGTGGTTTAATATATTTTGTGGATTTCGCGATTCGAGATTTTTATGCCCGCCCAATTAAATTTCACGATTAGCGATTTTTGTGTCCCCTCGCGATTACATTACGAAATTTGAAATTTTTGCATCCTTTCGCGATTCGAGATTTTTATGCCCGCCCAATTAAATTTTGAGATTAGAGATTTTTGTATCCCTTCGCGATTACAGTACGAAATTAAAGATTTTTGCATCCCTCGCGATTATAGTATGAAATTAGAGAATTTTGCATCCCTTCGCGATTAAATTTTAAAATTCGAGATTTTTATATCCCTTCGCGATTTTATTTCGAGCTTCGAGATTTGTATACCCCATCGTGATTTTAATTTCCCCGATTTTTATGTGTTAATTATTTTTCTCTGTTTCAGGAATTGATTTTGAATAAATTGTTTTATTGTT